CTACAGCGACATATCAAACACTGGTGTCCGGCCAATAGCCTTTAACCTAAGAGAAAGCGTGCCAAACTCGAGAGTGATGACGATGACAGTGACTTTGACGACCTAGCCTCTTCCCAGAAAGGCAGTGGTCTTGCCGTCAAACCTCTACGTGGGAAGTCAACATTCACTAATATGGAAGCCGAGGAGTGGCAAAATGTAGGCTTACAACGCATCTGGAAGCAGGTGTACGATACGTTTCATGACAAGATGAAACTGCAGAAAAAACAGTACAAGCGACAGGGACGAACGCAAGAATGGATTGAGAGAAGATTGAAACTGAGGTGGGAGGATCTAGTGCGTAGTACTCTCAACTATGCGATGGAATATACCACGTACTTTAAAGAGGCACCTCTGTTTCAAAACATGCTATACAACCTGGGAGACATGAATCCTTCCACGGAACAATCCGTTCTCAAAAATAAAATCAAACTCCTCCTAAAACCCAAGATGAAAGAGATCCTGCCTTTGATGGATATGCCGGAAATAGAAAGTGAGACTGAATCTGATAGCGTTGCAGAGGATAACGACGGTGATGACGAGGAGGAGGAGGATGATCGTGAGCAGAACGATTAGGCATAAATACCCATCACTACTATATCAGTCTAACAGTCAGAAGATAATGCCGAGTCAACGCCACGCGTCTAGTTTGATTCATATTTTGAAAACACCTCGTAAACTGAGGCGTTTGAACGATAAGAAACGCCGAATTTCCCTCTACGTGAGAGGAATGGTGAAACTGGGACCTCCTGGACGGAAATCGTTACAAGCAATGGATAAAGCATAGACTATAGACAACCATTCAACCTTAAAACAGCGTAGGAAAGGAAACATTCAACACTGCGAAATGTGTTTCAAAACATGGACTCGCTGTTTAAACAATAGGGCCTTCGAGCAGCAGCAGCATGTGTATACGAGTGACTAAATAATGTTCCAGAGTGAATACTATTGTCCATTCGTATATCACGGCTTTGTATGGAACCGATTGACTCGAATCAATAAATGATACAAATGAATTGTTTGTTTTTTCTCAGTTTTTTGCATATTAGTATATAGTCTTCGTCATACTACACCCGTGAAGGTCCCGGGTTATAGAATGGACCTTCAGTAACCCATGCTTATCGGCGACTGACGGGGATCGGTTGGTCAGTCCCGCCTCTCTGAAATAACTCCCTTTAAAAATAACAAATGTACAACACAACTTCCCTGACATAGCATGAATACGGGACACTGCTCACACCATTTATGAATGGGAAGCTTCAGGCGAGGCTGATATGTTGACATTAATTGTAAGGCCGGGGTATGTTGACATTGTTATGGGCGGTCGGTCGCTTAGTCTCTCTGCTATGCATTAGCTATGAATAAACCTACTTCGACATATATTTCCAATAAAACATTTTCCTCGTCAAACAATTTTCCATGATAAACTCTGTTCTCTCTTCGAAATAAGGGTGAGTATTGTAAACATGAAAATGTCCTATAGATTGCTTCCATCACTTTCCCAACAAACCTAGCTTCGTGCCGTCACACTGGTACATGTACTTATCAGTTTTCTATTTAATTTTCAAAATAGCACGTTCTGAAGTAAAACTGTGCACATCATGTTACACGGTTAAAACTCAAACCGCACGGTTTATTTGTCATCGCGTTAAAAGGAAACGCTAGCACTGAAACATCAACTATGCAAGTCGGGACAGGGCTGAAGAATTCTTTACAAATGATTCACAATAGTACGCAGCGCGGGGTGATTCGAAATCCGGCTGCCTTCAGCGTTATAGTCAATGCAGGGTGACGTGACTACCTCGTTCTTGCGCGCTAAACGTAATTAAACGACACCGCTAGCTTGCTGATTGCGTAGTCTTATCTATTTTGTCAATATTTTTTTCTATACAGGTTGTCTAACGTTCATGGTGTACAACGTGTACACCGTACAAGATGAATTTGATCCAGCTAGACGTACATTTTTTTCCCTACATTACCCGGCGTATATCGTGTTGACATAACCCGTCTCTATTGCGGTATGATGTACTTTCAACACACACCCTGCATTCATCAAACCAGATCGCACGCTCTAGCGAGCGCGGGTTAAACGACGAGGCCACGTGAGTTGTTAAGCGCGCTCAATTCAAACTGGGCTGACGGGTACGGTCTGTCTATTTAGGGCAGCACGTTATACACATAGCTCTATTCAATACCCTTTACTTTTGTTTTCTTATGAATTCTTTTCTGCCTTATAAACACACACCTTTCATTCCCCCCTCACCTGTGACGCGCTGTTGATGCATGAGTCATCCTATCCGATCACGTGACTTGGATCAGCCAATCACCTTCGCATCCGCCTGGATCAACCGGATCAACCAAAATGGCCTTCTGCGGACTATACTACTGAGACTTACAAAAGTCAAAAGTCAAGCAGATCAAATACTTTCTGTGAATATAAAGAAAGTCGTTCCTTGATTGTATTAAGGATTTTACCCTACTTTTATCACATCCAGACAAATCGCTGTCTTCAAGACTGCTCAATCGTCTTCGTTCTCGTCAACCCCACCAGCTGTGTACACTGATCATGCCCTGTGTGAACATATTCACATACTCAGCATTCGCCCGTCGTTACAAACAATAAAGAAATTGTAATCCGGAAAAGTTACGTCTTAATGTTCTTACAACTTCTAAATGGCTCTCAAAGAGTTCATGGTTTTAACAGAGGTTGTTCGCCGATACACTACTGTTGACAAGAGGTGTGGGGTTCCAGTAAGTTTATATTCCACTCTTCTGTCGGACAACGGGCGGGGGTGGTATGAATATTTTATGTAAGTTTCAGTTACTTTACTCGATTGTTATAATGTTGGGGGTGTTTTAGCGAACATACTTCGCAGACAGAAGCCTCTGATGTCCCAAGACAAAACTGTGGGTGCATCTGTGTTTATAACATACTACTCAAAATAAGTTAAAGAACACTTTATTTTTTCATGAGTGGTAGTACATGGTTCATAGGGAAGTTCGCATGTGATCAATGTTGGGTTTGCAACGAACAAAATATTGCATGTTTAATGCTTAGGCTGGTTTGGGTGGGAGTCAATGTTTATTTTTTTCAACTAAGAATCTATGTACAGTAAACTACGGTTATAACGAACACGCTTTATAACGAACTGACGGATATCACGAACTTACTTTTTTGGTCCAGACTATTTGCTGTAGTTATCCTGTATGTATGTTTATAACGAACACTAACGAACTAAAATTAGTAGTCCCTTAGTAGAGTTCGTTATAACCGTACTTTACTGTATATGGTCTTCAGGTAAACGGTTCTAAAAAGACAAAACGTTCGGTTTTACATGCATATTTCAATGTTTGTTTAAGACAACTTTCATTCATCTGACACTGATTTACTGTTTAACAATGTCGAACTTCATTACAGGTTTTCCAGTGTTCACCACAATGAAGTGGTCGCGTGCAGATGTCATTGTGCATTGAGGGATTACTGACACAGGATAGTATTTTTCTCAGTTCCATGTAAAACGGGGATTTGTATCATCCTGAACAGCAATGTGTTTGGCCTTTCCAAGTAAAAGAATATTTGGGTTCAGAATCTGCTGCATTTCACATTTGTTTACCTTCTTTCCCCAAAGGCTACTACTGCAACGAAGGCTTTACATAGATAACTTTGGTACAAGAATATTCTTTGTGTGTGAGACATTGCTGAAGTTATGCAACTTTTTATGGCTTTCGTCGATGATCGGTAAAAATCAGCAGCGGGTGGCTTCTAGATCCATTGCACGATGATCTAATTTCATATTTTTTTTGGGGGGGGGGGAGACCAGAGCGTGATAGACACCAACAGTTTTAGCCCACTAGTCCTTGTGTCAACATTGCAAACTGAAGATCCGGGGTAAAATTGATCTTCAGCAACCCATGCTTGTCGTAAGAGGCGACAAACGGGATCGGGTCGTCAGGCTTACTGACTTTGTTGATGCATGTCAAGTCAAGTGATATTTCAAATCTGCAAGCATCAGACAATTCTTGTGGTATGAGGGTGGTCAAGCTCGCTACTTGGTTGATTCATGTAATTGAATCCCAATTACATAGATGTATGCATAGGTCGATGCTCATGGCAATCACTGGATTGTCTTGTCCAGCCATGTATAATACAGCCATCATTGTTGATAATGTTCTTATATACCGTATTCGACGTAATAAGCGCCCAGGAATTAGAAACAGGGGGCTCTTATTAGAATAATTTTGGTGAGAAAAACAGTTGAAAGACCATAAATTACGTGGTTTATGCTGACATCCTGTAATGATACAAAAGAAAAGTCTGCGTATTATACACGACATATTTCAAGAATTTAATGACCCATAATTAAGGGGCATATAACACATAGTATATATAGTGCGTATTATACATGAATAAATTAGTCTTGTGTACATTGATCATCAGAAGGGGTGCTAATTGGCGGTTCACTAGCCAATATACAAGCAAAAATAGCTGTGGGTGCTTAATTGAGGGGGGGTGCTTATTACGTCGAATAGGGTACTTATATCATGCCCATTGTCGCACATTACTCTTTCTAAACTCATGTTAAATGAAATTCTAACATATTCCATATCCTGCATACAATTTGGGTGTACATTACACATGTGACTGTAACAGCAGTGCATTTGATTTCCCTTCCAGGTGTATAGTAGCTTGCAAGGGAAGGAAAGTTTAAAGGACTTTCATTTTTATCCACCGACCCCACAAAGCCTTAAAACTACTTCAAGTTGCACTGGTCATGAAAGGGGGTTTGCTATGCACAAAAGACCAATATGCAGAGCCATAGTCAGTTTGATTATAATTATTATCAAGTTCTAGCTGTCAAAAAAATTCAGATCAGTTTCTTTAATATTACGGAACGTACAAAATAAGAAAGCACGCTCTCTTGAATCCGACTGCTTGTCTTTGAAAGTGCAAACACGAGAAAATATTCAGAAAATAAACATTTATTCATAATTTTCTTTCAACAATGTTGATCATGTATTAAGATGAAAATGTTTTTTTGCATCTTTGCCCAGACTTGAAACCAGTGGCATCCTATTCATCAAGTAGGTTCTCTTCTTCATTTTCTCAATCTGAAAAAAAGATGCATAATGAAAATAATTTGACTCTCAGCCTGTGCCCTGATTGAGTCTTCTAGCCTTAAGTTGGCTCTTTGCATCATAATCACAAGTAATTAATATTATTATGTGAATTATTAACAACTGAGCTCACTAGTTTGAACAGAATGTTACTTGACTAGGCTTTGGACCACTAGCTCAAGTCTCAGACTGGACTAATTCCAGTACACCCAACAACTGCAAAACACTGATAAATACATATAAATGTATATCAGTTAACCAAAATTCAATTGATGCTCACAAAAAGGAAAGTATTTAATTTTACCTTTATAATATGTAATGGTCATTTCAGAAATACAACCTACCATTATAAATAATCTCCATACCTCGCTTATTACTGCAGTTCCAGACACTTAACTCGGCCAGTGACTTAGACCATGTGTGCATTCAGATCAGACTGTGGTTTAGCAGCAGGTTGGGCTAGTCATCTTCATCCTCATCCTGGACAACACACCTGCAAAACATTCAGGCTCAGATTACCAAAAGACCCCAACCTAAAAGTCAAATAAACACTTTATCTCAGATATTATCTTAATCAGAATGTTTACTTTTTATTTCTTTTACTTACCTTAAACAAGTTAGACATTAATATCAAATATTTCAAATTTAGAAAATGAAAATTTAAATTGCTGAAAAACAATGAAAGGTTATTTTTAAAATGCAGAAATAAATCCGTCAATATGATGCATGTCAAACTACAGTTGGGTATGTAGGTAGACGGTCATGTTTTACTCTGCAGGGAACAACTCAGACAACCTGCATTTCACAGTACAGCCATCAATTTTTTCCTGAAATAAATGGCAATATTTGGACGAGACAACACTTCTTCCCAATCAGATACCCCCCATTCCACTACCAAAGTAATGTCACGATGACAAATGAAATGTAGAAATAATTCTCATGTTTGACTTAACCATGATCACTGATTCATGCCTTCACAGACAGACACTTCAATTGTTCACTCAAGATATTCACATCAACGTGTCACCAATATTTGCCTAGTTGTTTCAGTATGAGCGCAACCATGATTTATCCAAATAGTGAAGTAGATGTCTTAATCTTTATGAGTGTTCAATGAAATACTGGGTGCAAAAAGAGTGACAGGGTTCATCATAAACTGATCAAGAAGAAAAAGTCTTGTGTTCATATTAAAATCATTGAAATAAAGCGCATAATGAAGTCATTAACCCTCTGTCAATTTGATGAACAAAGGTAAAGTCTTGTACTGTCGCAATAACACTGTCTAGCTCCACATGTTGTTAATGTTGTGCAGCATGTTGTCACTTGATACCTTTGATACAATTATTGACATAAAAGTTTCAAGTAGATATTTAACATTCATATTCATTTACCATACTAACAAATCCTCGCTCTTCCAAAACTATTGCGACTCTTAATTTGCTTTGGGGATTCATATGGTGCAAAGATATTCTGAAATATGAAATGAATACTTTTTTCTCCATTCCGACACTGAGATTTTACAACTCATTTTCCTTAACTTTTCTGGATGATTAACAAGGGACACTGCATAACTTAAACTACATTTCGTCGTATCAAGGTACAGTAAGAAAGGGAATGTATTAGAGAATTCTACTGTTAATATGACTGCATGCTATTTCCCATTTCAAATGGCTACACAAATGACCAAGCCAGTAACATCAGTGCAAGATGTCATACTTTGGTTCAATCATAGTTCTTAGGGGGAAAGAAAGGGAACAGATAAAGGTCTCATTACAAAATTATATGATATTCACACGGGTCTGGATGTTTACATACATGCTTTTCTTTTTAAATCTATGCTGTGAAACAATTTTGAGACTGGCAAATAAATGTCTTCAAAACACCTTGTTAGTCAAGTGTGGGACTTGAATGTTCACAATACATTCCTGGTAACATTAATGAACAAATGAAGTTTACAGATATAGTTTCCAGAATCCTGTGCCATGATGAGAGTGATTTCAATGTCAACCACATGCTTAAAAGTGCTTAATAGTGAAAATGAATGAATTATTGGACATGACAAGATGACATCTTACTGTCACCAAAATGTGATGGCAAAACATGTCTGATGGTGCTGAACCTGAGCACATGGCTACTGATTTCAGACATTGGGCTTGGAGACTTCAGTAATAACTCAGTACAATAAAGTGTGGAGGGGGTGCACTGTTATGGTTAGAATGTATTGGACGTGGCATTACTCAGAAAGAGGATGCATTTGTTTGAGCACTTCAATAATACTCAGTTGTCCATCTCCTCATTGCCACTTACAGCCATACATAAGTGTTTGTGGAAGATCATGAGATAATAATCAACACTGTCAAATTTTCTATCAATGAAATACTCAATTGCAAAGATCACCATAGCTCACCTAAACAGTATCTTAAAACATAGTCATAAGTAAGGTATGTACTTGGAATGATAAATCTCTTAATAATAACAAGTGCAAGCTTTGATATCAGGTTACAATTCAGTGCACATGGCTTATTCAGTAATGCAGAGATGCCAACCCAAATTAAAGCTTTGGAGTATTCTTTGGTTAAAAAGCGTATTTCTTTAGAACCACTGATGATAGAACCATGTTGCAGGTTTTCGCTTGGACATTTTGTTAGGCCTAGCTGTGTGTGAAACACCTGGTGAAAGCTCCACACATGACCCTGAATGTCTTTCAGAGACAATGTGGTGTTTCAATTAAGTAAGGGCAAGATATATGGATGAACAACTCCTTTATTACAATTAGGAGTGAAGTTTCAGCATAGGTTCGAACACCGTTATCAAGCAAGTGATGGTGTTTCAAGGGTACATTCAGCTGTCAGTACTCACAAAGATCGATTGATTAAATAAACAGTGTTAACATAACCAGATACTAGTACCATGGATATTTTAACAGTATGTGAATTGAAAGCATGGCTATCATTAGCCAGCATAGTCTCGCTGTAGAAGGCCTCATGTCACAGAGGCATGAACAATTTGATCTCCATATTTTTTATGCATGTTTAATTAATGACAAAAATTGTAATTTGTGGAAGAACAAGCATAACAATTTAAACTAGACTCCAAATCGTAATGGTTGGCATCTCTGGGTAATGTGTCTTGCGGACCTATTTCCACAACTTCCCTCTGATGATAAATTACCAGTCAAAATAAGGATATATCCTTTTTTAAGGGTCCTACATCCAATGAAATGATGCCATCACACCCATCTTCTAAGCATTTCACAAGGAAACTGGGCAAGCATGAACTATCATACCACAGAAATACCCAATCAGTTATATTCCTTGACATATACCCCAACAGCTCCCAAATTTGAATATGTTATGCACTACCCATTACGAGACATCCAAAGTGATTCTTATTGCTCATACAAACTTATATAATGGACAACACTTCAAACACTCATACGACCCTTGGGGTCTTATGAGTTGCACTGACCAGCCCAATTCTTCATTTAACCTTGGTGCTACACGCATTCTGTATCCCCAATTCCCAAATTGTAATTGAAACATGTTTAACAGCAGATTGTCCCATCCCATTCACTTCAAAGGGTAACTGTTGACATCTTCGATACATCGACAGCCCTTATCACACAAGCAACACATGCAACACCGTATCTTACAGGTCTTCCCTACACCACAAAGTAATAAGCATCAGATTTCTGTGGATGGATTCATGTATCTGAAATGTAGAAAGCTTATATAGCTATAAACATAATATCATGGAAGATTTGATACATACCTTGTTTAGATCTTAATCTGCATCCTAGAATAATGATGTAGTAGATTGCCTAACTTCTCTGTCGCACTCGGTCACTATTACAAGTACAGCAATGCAGTATAGTAGACGCAAGCTAGGGTCTAACAAAATATTTCATAAGATCACTTGATGAATTTTGGAGTCATTAGTACTGTGGATGAAAAGTGAATGTACCAGAGAATACGCCTTGTATCTCCATACAGTGAGAGCTGTAATGTAGTGATGACCATGGAAAAGGTTCTATATCAGATCTGTTGACCATTTAAAGAGTACCACAAGGTTTGTTAGTCTAAATTATCCCACTCCAACATTTGACTGTTCCTTTATGAAAATCTGCCCTCAATCCATTTGAAGTGTCTTCCTCATTGGCATGTCGTGCCCTCCATAGTTTCCAGTTTTGAAAGGAATATTGATATTCCCACAAGGTTCACAAATGCATGAATACCTCGAGGAAAATTAATTTAGACCATGCCATAAAATAACTCAACACAATCAATGAAGATTACCCCACCAAGAAACCATTAAGCAGTAACTTACAAAGATGTATTTGACAGCCTCTTAAAATTAACCGATATGTTTCATCTTTCAGTTTGTAAAACTGATTATCACTCGTATATGTAATGGCATCAACATGTGACACTTAGCTCGATATCATATGGCATATGCATAGACAAATTCATAATTATTCTTGCTGATCATTCATACATGAAGTCAACAGAATGTGATTATAGTTGTTAAAGACCTGTGAAAGGGCCTTTCAAACAGTTATGAACAATGGTATTCATAATGTGAAATTCATTTACGCATACAACATCTTCCCGATAGGTTATTTCACCATGCAGAAATGGGCATATCTAATATAGGAGCAGAAAGGGTTTTCTTACTATATAGCAAAGTTAGCAATGACAAAATTGATCAAACTCTTTAGTAACAGAAACATGTGGCAGCATTGTTGCACTAAATCATCACTTTCAAGTGATGTTACTCATACCATTCCAGCAGTCAAACTGATGACCTGTGTTAGGCTGTAGATGACATAGCGAGGTTTGGATACTCGCATGCACGGCTTGTTCTGTAAATCGGTACAGCAAGTTCAAGGAAATCCTTATTCATCAACCTGTATGAAAATCTTGGGAGCATAAAAAAGATTAAACTTTTCAGTGTGAACTGTAGTTGGTCCTCTCTCACACTTGACACTCCAGCAGGCACAGGACAAGTCAAAGGCACATTACTTCATCTAAAATTCACATTTGAACTTGAAATATGTGCATGTGACATGTGTTTTCAAACAGAAAATGAGTCAAACCACCTGAAAAGATGTGTGTATCCGATCTACTTTTACATACATGTACTGCAATCTACTGGTTTCTAGTTACTCATGATGGAAATTGCCATCACGCTTAACCTCTCCAGGTGATATTTGGCGACCATCTCTTCATTATATGATAAAAGGCACATGCCACGATGTAGGTTGTTCAAAATTGAGACACTTAATACATGTAATTGATACTGTTGTAGACAAGTGGCACTTTTATGGAACAGTGAATGTGGGCAGATATTGCAAAAACATTTCACCTTTATGTTATTCAATGAGAAGATTCCACATCACACTGACAACTTTGTCATTAATTTCTTGTTACAAAGCATCACAATTCGAATTAAGGATAGCTGTTTGAAAACACACGATTGTCTCATTGTTTTCCTTTAACGAGAGAAAAATCTCATACCAGTTATAAGGAATACAAATGGTTTAAGGGTTTCAACAGATTATCAATAAATTTAAAAACATCAGGAACATAGAAATAAAGTGTACAAGATTCCGGGAATCAATTTTGCAAAACAGGAAATTGACCCATGGAAAAAAAAACAAATTTTAGTCAAATTACTAATGAGAATTCTATTTTCGCAAACTCAAAAGTGAGGGCAATATATCATGAATAAGTGCAGGATGCACTGTAAGCCAAGAGGTGGCACCTTCAAACAATCAAGCGATTTCTTTTTGTTCATACATTTAATGAATGTCAAAGAACAAACTTACTGTCGGAATACTTTGTTAAGATCACATGAAATCATTGGCCTGTCGTCCAGTCAACATTTCCAACACTTGAAATTTTCATCAAAAAGTAACCAACTGTGATTGATACATCAGTCTGGAAATGATGCCAATTATAACTTGTGTTCAACAGAAATACTTCATGTGTTTAGACATGATGAAATATTGCTCTTTGTCAGAACAACTTGTTACTCCATGCTGGCCAGTCTGTTCGGTCTGTTTCTATAAGACTATGTACTTAAGTCAAGCCTGGATATTTCTAACAATTTGACATTTTGTAGAATATCGAATAATAAATCAAATATGTCGCCAAACTGGATGGACCTGTCAATCTACCAATTAGCTTAAGCCATGCATGTGATTGTAATTAACCAAACACATACACAATGAAACAAGCAGATTGTAATCTTAATCACCTTTTCCACTTTGCAGATTACAAGTCACAAACAATGCATCATAGATTCCGTGTTATGACATCTGCCATGTGTTAGGTCACCAGACAGATGGCCATTGTTAAGGGTAAATGCGTTACTCCAACTTTTGTTTCTGGGCTAAACCCCTACAAAGGCTCTCAACCTGCAGTCAATTACTGTTATGTCACCACAGCATCTGTCACTCGCATCTTTCTTCCACTAGTCACAAACAACACATTTACTTACCAACAATACTTACCAACTAAGTTATATTTCTAACGTAACATATCTGTTACAGTTGCATCACCAACAGGCATCAAGAATCAAGACTGTAGATCGCGAGGGTATTCTCAATCATTTCCGTTTATACTACTGAAGATCTTGCTCAATTTTCTTCATGATGAATAATGTTCAATTGTGACCTATAGTAGTAAGTAGTACTAAGTACAGTAATTTTTATTTCAATTGTTAATGTTATCTATGTGAGAACAAGATGGATATATCTGCATTCTGGGATATACAAAGGTCCCCAATGAAGCTTTGATTTCCAAAATTCTCAGAAGCCAGACAGCCTTTGAAATGAGAAATGTTTCCACCAATATGGAGAGAAATATGTCAAACCAAAAATCGTTCACCCAGAATCAATAAATTGTTGAAATATAATTAATATCTCATTTATCTAATTGTCAAATTAAGAGTCCCTGAATTGCCATATTTGCTATAGCTTTGATTAAATCAAAGCCTAGCTGTCAGTAGTTATTTAAAAGTCTGCAGCAATATTTAGTAATCTTGTACATGCATTAATTTCTAAGGCTGTCAGTGTGCACGTGCAATTGGACAAGGATTACAAAGATCAAGCATTTGATTTTTTTTGTTCGAAATTTCAGCTGTCAAATGACAGCATGCACCAAGTATGGATCCAACACATGCCCATGCAGGGTTTAGAGTTGGTTCTTCTGCATTAGCTACTCAAGGGCTCGGGGGTTTTTCACCGAAGGCCAAAAATCTATAACAGGTCATAGCATTTTAAGGCAGCGAAAGGAAATGACCCCTTGAAACTTATCACTTGACTTTCACAAAGGAATGTCCCTTCACTTATTTGATAAAATGTCTACACCTCAAACATTCACAAATTGATCAGCATAGAAACTTTGTACCCCAATAAAGCATTTATAGTGCCACAAAAACATTTCAGTGTTAGTGTGTTCACTTTAGTTGTGTTTCATATGAAGTCGAGATGTTAAAGTTGGTCAACTTCTTTGGTACAGCCCTAACAGAATGATAAATATGGATGTTTTGATCCACATTATACCACACATTTCCAAGAATCACTAAAAGTGATTTTGAAATTACTGGCCTACACAACTTATATTTGAAAGGCCCTGACTAAAATCCCCAGTCCCTCTTAAAAATGCACCTTATTGTGGCAAAATAAACCAAGAAGCAAATTTACTGCAGGCCATAAGGACCCACACAAATTTGAAACTATGTGCCCCGGCACGACATCTGTTAATGTGTGGATACGAAACTTTCCCTCGAATACGAGACTGCCCTCTATGATTTGGGAATGACATTACGATGGCCATCTTCGTTTGCTCTAGGCAGGTAGTTGAGTGACAACAGGTGTGAGTGCAGGAGGTGTGTTGTGTTGGCTGATGGATATTGAATACAAGTCTATATGAAGAACCTGTGTGTGTATTTTATCAACATCTACCCACCACAGGCCTCTTGGCCATCACACATTGTACCCATGAGCGAATAAAACCCGGTTCTGTGTAGCAAGTGAGTAATTTAACTACTAATCAACCCATCACTCCATTGTGATAAGTACAAGTATCACATCTTGAACAGAACGAATCCATCAAGAAACTTGTTTATCCAACAAGCTTTTCTCCCTCAATGGAATTGATCAGGCTTCACAAGAAGTTTTCACTTAACTAGCTGATCATGTCACAAGGGACACCATACAGATATGCTTCACAGATATTGTGACCATGTAAGGAATCAAGCCCAGCTGCATGCATAAGGCAAAACTGTTCCAAATAGCTGCAACTGATGTTTTCTCTCTTCAGTTCTGCATTAGCACAATGAAAACTATTTCTGGTTCACTTAACCATATATCAGTTGATCCAAGTTGACAGTTACCTAATATATTTCTTTTTACCTACAATGATGTTTCACAAGCCATTATGTTCCAATGCTGCCTGATCACGAGTCATGGGTCGTAATGAAGTCTACTATCTCCACGCTTTGGTAGCACATCCATAATGTATATCTTTCCCTATTTCTTCATGATCAAATTCAGTTGAATTATGATAAGATCAGATAATTATGGGTAAAATGCACCCTTGGTGAAATTAATGGTAATACTTTTCAAACTTAATAATTTTCTTTGTGTCTGTTTTCCCAAATGACAATCTTCAGGCAAGTTATATTCAGTCTTTGCAATAAATTAACATGCCTAGGGTTAAGATTTTAGAGGATACTTTCGTCACTATTTTAAATCACCAATTCATAAGAAAATATTTTCATGTTAAGGACAACTTTTATTACAAGGACTACCACATACACAACAACTCTTCAATAATAACGATTAAGATTACCAATGTTTTTTCACATATGTAAACAGTTAAAGTGATCTAAAGAAACATGCATGACTTTGATATAATGAAAACAAGTACCTTAATCTTAAAACCAATGACAGAGCGATAAGTGTGAATTAATCACAAGAAGCAACATAAAATACTCATGTAAATAGTTCATAGTTCAAATAAACAGGCCTTATGAAATAGGCATGAACTCTCTCGTGATGTCCTCCAGGACATTGTAATGTCAGCTGTTTTTTTTCGACAAGTGATGCTCAAAACATGATTGATACGATTGAAAACAAATACTGACATCCTAAAATCGCACTTGGACTTGGAACATATACAATGTCGTCTTCAGCCTTCAAGCCACTGTATTTAAAAAATGTTCATGATTAAGAATATGGAATTATTTATGTCGCAAGTCAACAAGCCCAAACAGGGCATAGCACATTCTTCTTGTCTCACAAGTCAGTGAAAAAAGATGGAAACAGTTGTGTTTTTCAAGAAAGCTCAGTATCTCCTTCTCTTCAAGTCTCCATATTCCTCTCTGGGTCCGCCTTCTCGTCGTCGGTCCATGCGTTCGCCTCTCATTCCAGGGCCTCCATTACCTCCACCCATGTTGTTGGAGCCACCCATGCCTTGACTGCCAAACATGTTTCCTTGGCCGCTACTCATGCTACCCCCCATGGGACCACCCATCCCTCCCCCCGACTGGAACCCTCCCTCAAAGCTCCCTCCTTGTTGGTCAAAGCGTGATTGACGCTGTTATAGGTTATATTCATATCAGTTCATATGATTAACCGTTTGGATTAACATATATCACGTTCACCAAGTTCATGAACACATAGCACCAGGAATGCAGGAAACAGCCGATCCATCAAGCACATAAAGAAAAGGGAAAGAAAAATCTTTTTGTTAGCAAGTATGCAAACACTACATGTAATTGCTATTTAATTACTAAGACTGTCTGTTGTGCAAATACTGAAACCAATCACAAATCTCATCACAAATGCTTTCAAAATGGCACAAAACATCCATTGTGTTTTTATGGCCAATACAATCGCAAAGCTTCCTATCGTCTTTCCTGTTTGTATTTATAACAGTCAACGACAGGAACTCCGGCATATAGTCTGCCATTAATAATGGCTAGTGTACAGCACCTTCCCAAAGAAATTGTTGATACAAAAGAGTAGAGTGAAGGCTTTATGAATAAATGAGAATGATGTTGAAGCTAATTTCAACTAATAGACTGGCTTAAATATCCCAGAACCCTTCAAGTTTCTACCATTGTTCTATAAATGAGGACGCTAGTTAGTTATCTTACACCAAAGTTAGAAATATACATCAGGAAATAATCAAGCCTGGACCAGACAAACCAGTGGTTCAACTGAGCAGCAATCAAGTCCAAGGGATACGAAAACACCATTAAACCATATCATATAGTTTGGCAATATTCAAGCTACACAGTGGTGCCCTGTTACATTTGTGACAGGTAAACCAGAGGTCCAACAGCATGAACATGATCATTACTTGTAATAAAGTTGCCATCTTGTAAAATGTTGTTTGGTCAGCTGGCATTGACATTATGTCAACGTTTTGAATGGGATCTGCTTCTCATGTAAAGTTGACCCTATTCGCATTTTGTTCCCACAAAGAATACACAAGCGGTTTAAAGGCAGATCTGGTATTGTCACACAAACATTGTTTACTAAAAAAAAGTGACAGCCAAGTCTCATTAATCCAACAATCAGCTTTGGCATGATGGGGATTGATTAAATCAGAGCTATTTAGACCTGTTGATCCAACAGTCTCACACGACCCCAATACACCTAATTTTCAACAATAATATGCAACCAACCATGTCAGATTAATAGGCCCCCACTGTATATCACTAGTTTCTTTAACGCCACAATCAGCAATATTCCAGCTGTATGATGGCAGTCTGTAAACAATGAGTCTGGACCAGACAATCCAGTGATTGATATAATGAGCATCAATCAACACAATTGGGATACAATGGGATACGATGACCAAGTCAACGACACTGACCACCTGATCCTATTTGTCAACGAAAAGCATGGGTTGATGAAGACCTATCCTGACCCGGATCTTCACAGTTAATATCTCTAGTAGTTAGTTCATTAGTGGTGTATACTGGATTCTATAAACTTAAGTCAAGGCTCAAAATAATTTTTCAGCCTCAGTAATACATTATTTCAATATAGGAATACTGGCAAAACTAAAGAGTACACCTAGAGTACTGAATGTCTGTTCAGTGCCACTCAGCAATATTCCAGCCATGACAGTGGTCTGTAAATAAACAAGTCTGGACCAGACAATCCAGTGATTGACATCATGAGCATCAATCAACGCAATTGTAATGAATATGATGACATGCATCAACCAAAGTCAGCGAATCTGACCACCTGTAAGTTGCCTAATGTTTCACACACATTACTGAAACACATTTTAGCTGTTCAGTACATGCTGTAAAAAGTTGAAGATGACAGAAAAGGCAACAAAATAAGGGAACCATAGGGGTAAGATACAAATGTACAGGAAAATATGAAGGGAGTGGCAAGATAGAAGATAAACAATATTTTGAGACCTTGCTACTCATCTGTCAAGCACAACCAATGTCAATTCTCGGAGGTGCAACATTTACCTGCAACATATACTTGCCTAAATAACATAAGGTCATTTCTACCAGTCCGCAAGATATCGTCAACATCAGCCAAACTGACTTGAGGGCTAGTGGCAATTTGCATTCCTGATTCTGTATAGTGCAATATCCAAAACTCCCCCCAAAAATCTTAGTATACCCCACATACATCTTACATATTTTGTTTGCTCTTGTTACCTGTTTATCCAAATTACTATGGATTTAAGTTAGCTGTTAAAGTCACTGGCAATTAAAAACTGTTCAATCCAACTAGTTTTGCAAATCGAAGGAGAAACTTAGCACTGACAACCAAGAATAACAGATCATATGTTCCAAATGCATAATACATTCAAATGCAGCTGAATACCTTTGCACTGAAAACAATACACCTAAGCCTCAGTATGCAGGGATTTTGGCCTAAAGAAGGTTTCCTATTACAATTTTAAAGACCGATATAATCTATTACAATAAAACAAGTTTTTGTATCCTATCTGACCATGACAATGGAGCGTTATTGATGCGTGTCAAATTTCCTGAGAAACATTACAAGCCATGATCATTTCCCATTTCAAAAGGAATTCCCGCAAGACATTTTTTCATATGCCAGGATCAAGATAACTGTATTCGTCTCACAACTAAGCCAGAAATAGGAACTGTACATACATTCACCTCGATCTACATTATATTCAGTTAAAAAAAGAATTTGGATGACATTTTTGGAAGAAATTGTATCTAAATAAATTATTTACCAGGAATAATATATTCAAATAGTGTTTTATTTTAGTTGCAGCTGTAACTTTATATATACTGAACAGCATTGAAAACGCACCACCATGAAAATGGATGTATTTTTATCCGGGCTTAAGTCATGAAAATATATAAGTGAACGAGTAATAAAAGGCTTCCTGGACGAAGCATGAAGAAAAGCTCGTCTAAACACATTCCTAATTTTTTTGTGAGCGAAATCGCCAAAACGCAACAAATTGCGTGCACATCATGGAAAACATGTTTTGTTTCACGGGAAGCATGCAGAATAGGGCTATAAAAGACCGACTTTCAAAAGCCACATCACTTGTTGCTGCAGACGTTAAGGCTACTGACACAAGAATTGCCAAGATCAACATCAGAGGAACGTGAACGTGCCTTGGGCATGCTTCAAATTGGTACGTTAAGTAGAGTCGTTGCACAACAGTTTCAATACCATCATTCTACAGTCCTCAGGCTACAGAGCAGATACCAGCAGGCAAGAACCACCAGAGATAGACCACGTCCGGGTCAACGTCGTGTAACTACACGTCAGGATCGCTATATTGTTCGTCGGCATCTTCATGATCGTACACTTCCGGCTACCAGGACTGCAGCAACCGTACAAGGCCGACGTAATTGATCAGTGCTGACACCATACGCCGACGTCTCCGCTACGTGCTCGACGTCCATATGCTGGACCCATACTCACTGATCGACACTGAAATGAGCGTCTGCGTTGGACAAAAAGGCATCGTCATTGGAGATTGCGGCAGTGGCATGGTGTGCTGTTCTCTCATGAGTCCTGTTTTCATTTACGGAATGACAGTCGACTGCGAGTGTGGTGTCGACTGCGAGTGTGGTGTCGACACAATGACTGCTTTGTATAGACAAATCGACGGGGGGAAGAGAGTGTCATGGTGTGGAGCGGCATCAGTCATAACCTTCGAACAGAGCTCCATGTTTGTCGTGGAAGAGTTAATGCCCTTTCCTACAGGAATAACACTGGCAAATCACGTCATCCCATTCTTTCATCAGCACCAGGATATGCACACCTTCCAGCAAGATAATGCAAGAGCGCACACCTGGATTGCCTGGGTCAATGCCTCTCATGTCGTCCGCAAGTACAGAACGTCAAGAGTGGAATGCCCCCAGAACACTATTCGCAGACTTATTCGATCAATGAGAAGACGTTGCATGGCATGTGTTGCTGTCAATGGTGGACATACCAGATATTGACTTTTCATTTTAACCCTTTTTGTCTTCCTTACACTGATGAGGTAATTGTAATAACTGTGTGGTATTCCTGTTTGTTGTTTTTCTTAATAATCTGTTTATGACTATTCTAATCAAAATCGGTCATTGCTCAAGTTGTTTTTGTTATATTTAAAGGTTTATTGCTGGTGCGTTTTCAATGCTGTTCAGTATATTTAAAATAATAACCATAAGCGTAGCACTTTGGTATTTTGCCAGGTATACTTTATGTATGGAACAGTTTGACGAGTCACCGTTTGAAACTTCCTATGTCCTGCTATTTCAAACACGAAAACAATGTTGACAAACTAACAAATATGACTAAATGAGTCAAAGTATCAAATTTACAATATACATGTATGTATCCACATTTTATGACAACTAAGCTACTTTCAAGGCATCAACAGAAGTTATCTGATTATGGTTGCTGTAAGTTATGGCGATCTGCTAATCAGATAATTATTATTTCTAATTTGGGAATGTTGGACCACATTTTGGGTAGACTTGGGGTCTGACATCGACCCCTAACCAGGGCAAGATAAATCCCTGGTTTGATTATTGTAAAAAGCAATTCATAATAAAGAAGATAACTAACTCTTTCAACACCGTAGGCCGGTTAACCGGCCAAGAAGCATCGAGTCCCAAGACACCGCTGGCCGGTTAACCGGCCAAGCCATAGTCACGTCAAAATAATGTATATTTTTATGGACCTACCTGTGATATTCATTTATTAAATCTATCACATTTCACAATGTCTAAAATACATATTCCATTTCAATTTATCATTTTTTATCGATAAATTAAAAAATTATTCACTATTTACCGCGATGTTGTTGAAAATAAAATTCTCGGACACAAATTTCGACAACGGGTCCACATCGCACATGTCAAAGAGCAAAATAAAGAAGTTCTTAACAAATCTGTAAATATATTATACAAAGTAATAAATAAAATCAACAAAAATATATCTAAAAGTAATCAAACTTACATCTAAGTTATTTTTTCCATCTTTTCGTGCGATCGCGTATAATGTAAGTCAAATGACATCTCGGCTTTCGTCGCCTTGAATTCTGGGCTCATACACGATGTTTAATGCAAAAATATATGCGTGAAAAATCTTTGTCACAGCTCGTAACCTAGCACGATACATTCACGAAGTTTTATATCTTTAATATATATTGTGATTTACTGCTTAAAACGTTCAGAATAACAGGATTTAACAAAAATCTTTCGCCAACTTCTGAAATTTATCAAACACGAGCTTGGTACCACAGCTGTAATTTGCTTGGCTGCATTAGGTCATGTGCTCAAAACTGACCAATCACGAAACTTGTAGCAGATTTCGGCAAGAAAGCGTCATTAGAAACCAATTTTAATCCAATGAAATTGCTTGTTATAACTACGGAAAAAAACAGGCGATGTAACAAGCGTGTAGGTGAAGGAATAAGCTTTCTAGCGATGTGTCATATGCCATTCTTCGACGAATGTGTTATTCATACGAAGCCTAAAAAATGGCGGTATTTCTTCATGTTACTGAGCGGACAGTCCCTGTTATCGGGAAACGGGTGATGACAAACTATTTATAAATTCTTTTTAAAATGGTTTTCCAATTACGTAAACAATAAAAATTAAACAAATAGGTAAGTGGATTTTATTAAATCTTATATTTGCCGAAAATCGTCAAGTTTTCGCTTCCTTAATCTGGATGTTAACGTGTTAGCTTACAATTTTTTTATTTACAACGATCTTAATTAAGTTGTCAATACATTATTTTAAATAATGTGAAAACATAACTTTCATGTTTATTAACCATAGGATCAGACCTTTCAAATGGTGTATAACATGTAGTAGCAAATATATTTTACAAGCAGATATTTTCTTTGATAAATGTTGGCTTCATCTATCACACAAGAGTCTCTGGGAACTCGGTGTCCCTGCAGTAAACACTTCTGGTTGACTGGTGTTGAAAGAGCTAATTAACATACAACAGAAACATACCATAAATAGATGAATATTGATCAGAGAATATCTTCTGATTCTTTACAATTGGGTCTAAGCAGTGTTGCTGCATGTCTTAAATTATGTAACCAAAATCATCATTTATTAATAGCAAACTATGTCCTTGTCCTTCAATATCAGTTCACACTTCCTACATGTTCTTAAAATCTGTTTCTTGATATCAACCCAAGCAGCAAATGCAATGCAGTAATTCAAGCAAAATTTTCAAATGAAACATACCATACTGTGCGCAGTTCACAATTAGAACAGGACTGTCAACCCAGGAATGAACACGGTTCAACAAATCGTTTCCGATAACGTGTGCACCAGTCACCCATAATGTTTATGGGTAGGATCAGTCAAGTCACCATACTGATTACTTTGATAAAGCAGCTCTAAGGCAGATCACAACATGGGCTGCATTACAAATTGTTTGATACAGGTGTTCCATAATCTTAATACAGCATTCTGTACAACCGTTTTACCAAGAAGATACTTGCATGTGTTCTACAAGCTTCCTTTTTAACAAAGACAATATTTGCACAACAGACAGTTTATTTCTTAATAATGGTGTCCTACTTCAAGTGCATAAACACGAGAAGATGAACAAAATAGACAAAAGAAATCTAGCTTTGTGTGAGACTTCACCAGCCACTTTAGTATGGCTACTCAAATGGTTTCTTGTTCTGTCACCATACACCATCATGTGAGGGCATTCCCACAACAAAATTAGGTAACATGTTACAATACCATGAAACATGATGTTATAGTTTCACATAGATGACCTGTGGCCCTTGCTTTAGCAGTAGATAACAAATAGCACATTTTCAACCAGTATCAACAACAAACAAGTGGAACAAAAAACTCAGTAAGAATGCAAGATCCCAAAAGCTAGGATGCAGTCACATAAATGCAACTGGTTTCCTTGTGGACAACCTCCAATTGAGGACCCGTCGAATAGTTGTGATACATTGTAAAAGCAGTCACGTATCTTAACATCACTGACAGCCTAAGATAAACATACAAGAGCATTGCATTTTACAACTGACAAGACAAGCACAGATTCATATCTGGATGTTGATCCATATGTGGGAAATGATATGTAGAAAACTTGGAGCAAGTTAGGGTCCTTGGTCTGAATGCAGTTTGAAGGTCATGAATCTGCAGGCCAAAGGCCAATATCAATATGTATTGAAAATTTGAATGCCTAATAACAATGACTGAAATGATATGCTTGTGATACAATTATTCATAGATGGCAGTTGGCTATCAAGCCTTAGAGGTACAATGATAATAATTCTAAATACTTCAGGGGGTGGGGGGTGGGGAAGGCATTTTCCCATCTTTTATCAAATAGAAAAATGTATGAAAATTGCATGGTTTTGATTCTTTCAACATCATGTTCAATGCAATGATATCATCTCTGGAGCAACTAAGATCTACACCTCATTCACACAAAGTTGAGCCACATGTTTCTTTTTCTTGTTTGAATATTTCAGGACAACGTCGCAAGAAATAAATATTAAACCGCAAGGCAAAATGTCATTTCCTTGCACTAAAAATAGACAAGCTGACTTCGGACGAAAAATATTTTTATATGAACATCAATTTTTTTGTTCAACAACAAAGACTTATTTGCCAGTCCACAGGGACTGGCAGTCACATGAATTACAGGTCCAAGACTAATTGTACCGATAAAAAAACTGATAATTACCGGTAAACAGGAACACTGACAAAGACCAGGTCCAAGGGAATCTGACAAGCAGGACACTTAGGGAACTGCTCTTTCACTGTGGTATATTACCCGATCAAATTACATTCTTGAACTAGAAAAGGCATTCTTCATTCCATCCTAAAATTGTGATCATCCAAACTTAAAATACAAACGGTGTATTGCGACATGCTTAATGCTTAATGTTGCAAGACATCTGATATTGGTGTCATAGGCATTTCTTTCATAGCACAATTTCGTTTTACTCCCATTTGAAATTAGGCAAAATAACAACTTTTTATCCAGTATCAAAATTCAATTTCAGTGTGTCAAACAACCATTTCCTGAAGATAAGTTAAAATTTTTGGTCTTCGAAGGACAAATATAACATAAAAATAGAAATTTCAGATCTAGTTTGTTTTCCAAAAGGGATCACTGTGTTTACAGTGTAGGTAGAGCTCATCTCAGACTCAGTTTATCAAATTGTATATCCTGTTTTGGGAAATATGCAAGTTTGCCAATGGCTAAAAAGATACTTTTCAGATATATTTCATTCTCGAATTTCTGAGAGACAAGATAACTGGAAATCCAGAATATGGTCTATGACTAAACAAGTTGACCATAAAAATAACTCATCTTAGCTGTCATAAAATGGAAGCAATGATCCCAGGCTGTGTTTCTTATGTGTTATGGTTGCAGATAGTGCTTCATTTTCCAGTGAGAAGACTATAAATCAATGTCAGTCAATGTCAACTACTATTACTAAAAATGTTCAGTAAAAGGTTTGACAATAAAAGCATTTTTGACTGAAAGTAAATTGAAGTAAACAATCATTTTGCAAAAATCTGTTAATGAACACTTTAACAGAAAACGTTTTCATCTTTTCACAAAGACCTAAATAGATTTAATCCATGTATGAAGTAACAATCCACTAACCCTGAATTCTGCAATAAAAGTAGCATTCGCTCATTTGAAAATCCACTGGAAATGTTTCAACTAAACCAGAATCTGAACAGGTCATGCCCATTCTTCTTGCTGTATCTTTTCATAACGATCAAAACCACGCGCTTGAATGACACAGTTGAAACATTTTAGACCATTTATAAGCACAAACTATGAAGGAAAACCATAATTATGACTCAGGCTATTGCATTATGATTTGGAGATTCAAACGAAGATGTTATCAAAACCATCACTTGCTTAAGAGGATACTTAATCACATCCCGTTTCATCAAAAAACATGACCGAAATAGTCATGGATGCAGATATCACTTCAGTGATTGCAGACAACATATTTGTGACACAAGACACCGACATCAAGTCTACCATTACAAACTGGAACATTACTGTATGAGCTAAAAGCAAGGGCCAACAGGTAACACACAAGAAAAACTTAAACCACATATGAATAATGAATTTTTTCCGTTGCAGCATCATTTGCTGTGACATGTAATAGACAATTTCAGGTAAAATCTTCAAGTTTATTACAACATATTTTATCAAAGAAGGGACTGCTGTCTGAAAGGATAACAGTGAATACTCCTGGAAAAAAGATTATTAGACATTGACTTACCATGCTGCCTCCCATTCCGCCAATGCTTCCTCCTTGGCTTCCACTCCCACCCATTTGACCGCTACTGCCTATTCCGCTGCCCATGCTGGATCCTCCAAAGCTGCTTGACATCTATTTCAAGGAATAGAAGAAGTTTGCCCAAATTCAAATACAAGCCAATATCAAAACAAAACATTCAACATTTACAGAATGAGTGTACAAAAAAGCGTGTCTGGCTCCCCTAAATCTTTATTACCGATAACACTAGCTTATATTATAGCAGTCTGCACAGTTTAACAAGACAGAACCAAAGAACCAAGCACAGGACAGTGTGCCAACAAAAATACCTTCCCTGAATATGGTAAACACATGTAGTTCTTTTTTTTTTGTTGCAAGTTACAGCCTTTGTGACCACCAAACCCATATAATTTTAGTTAGTTCTTACAAGCATGGGATGCTGGGAGAGTATTCTGCATTAGAAAGCACTTAAACAATATCTAGTATCTACCAAATCAAAATAACAAATTTGAGTTGTAATGTGTGTTCACACACCTGACTAGGACGTCCTGATCTATCTAATCCCATGCCTGCAGGAGGGGCTGGTGGTGGGGGCAGTGGTGGTGCTCCATCTTTCATTCCTCTTGGACCATCACGCATTCCACCCTAAAATCCAGAAACAGACATTGAGTGTCCTGAGGAATTTATGAATAAACATTTAATATAGCAATGTCTGCTTGTCTTTTGCCCTTTCACTGACCACGCAATACTTTATTCTACTTTTAGTACACTATTTTGAAAGAAAATCTTACCATCATTTCATCGCGACCTCTGGGTCCACCTTGATCCATAGGACCACCATGTCTGTTCATCATCATCTCTTGAAGACGTCGGTCTTCCTCTACTCTCATACGTTCTTCCTCACGTTGTCTGCAAGTGAACATTTAGGTGTATTAGCAAACAATCAAATAGAAAAAAATAAATAATGTTCTTTTTAAAAAATAATTCATTCCAATTTCCAATAATTATCCAAGCTTATCACCTCATTTCCATATCTTGCCTGCGGCGCATCTGATCCTGTTGTCTCATCTCCTCCAGCCTTCTCAATTCTTCTTGTTGACGCATTAGATCTAGACAAAAGAACTGTCTGCATTAATTTCCTAATTTTCATTATGTTCAGAAGATGTGTCAATGTCAAAAGTTGCATGTCAGGCCTATGTCTACTCATGTGGAGCAATGTAGTGTATACATGTCCTTAAGTATTTACAAAAGCAAATCAATCTGATTAAATAAATGTAATAACTATATTTATTAATTACTACATTATTCTGAAAGAACTTACCTTTTCTGATCTGCTCAGCCTGGTACTCAATGAGAGCTCCCTGCATTTCATCATCCAATCTTAGCCTGGCATCCTCCATTTCTTTCTTCACTCTTTCTATTCTCTCCTTCTCCATTTCGTCAATCTGACGCCACCTCTGTGCAAACTCGCACTCAAACGAACCAGGCATAGCAAAACGAGGTTCCTTTTCTCGTTCCCTGAAAAAATTTAAAGTATTTAAAAGTTAATCAGGACGTTCTAATACTTAAGGAGATAGGAAAAAGCAAGACAAGTACAAATGCATAGTCTCAAACTTAACGACAGATTTCACAGGTAATCTAGAAACTAATAATGTTGGCCTTATCGTATATTATGAACTGTATGCTTACTTCTTGTAACCTTCATTCTTGTTCAAGAATTTTTCAGGCATGCCGTCGTCCTCATCCGTCTGCTCAAGCGGCTCCACAGACAAAGGTCTGGGTGATCTGTTGACAAAGGATAATTCATTAAGGACTTCTACAAAGACAGTCATTTAGGATTTAAAGTGTACAGAATAAAATCAAAATTTGAATTAAAAAAAGAATGCTACTTACGATCCCAAAAGGAAGATTCCATCATTGATTCTTCGCAGTGCCTGTTGTGCTCCTGGCTTACGGACAAATTCAACAATTCCATCTCCTGTTGGCTTTCCACGGTCATCTACAATCACAATGGCCCTTTCAAGGTCTCCAAACTGTTGAAATGCATTTTCAAGCAGTTCATTGGATGCATAACCATGTATGTTCTTGATTTTCAGTGCAGCACCATGTGTGGCAAACCTCACCCTCAAGGTTCTTCCTTTCTTCTGCAAGCCATCTAGGGCTGCTTTTGCTGCTTCTGCATTATGGCGATAGTCCTGAAATGATTAATGATAAAAATTAATTCACATTCACCAAAAGTTATCAGCATATATATATGGAACAGAAAATAATTTAAGTAGAAATCTATTAATACAGAGCATAAGTTTCATTTCTAGGATGTAATTTAGTGTCACCCTAAGGTTCATTTTTAAAATATGGTGACAATGTTAATGATGAAAATGTCAGCAAAAAAACAAAATGGTGTCTTACCATACGAATGAAGCCAAATCCTCTTCCCGAGTTGACATATGCCTCGGAGACCTCTCCATGCTGTTCAAACATCTTCTTGAAATCCTCTTCTGTGACATCTGGAGTTAAATTGCCAACAAAAAGACGACATCTACCCGTGAACTTCTTTTCTTCTTTCGGGCCCTGTTCAGTGAACTGATACTGCTGATCTCTTGAATAACTTGAATCCCTTTCACGATTTTGTTTATTGTACTGCTTCTGCTTTTGGAAGCCACCCTGTCTATCTTGTCTCTGAAAGCTATTCTGTCTATCCTGTTTCTGGTAAGTATTCTGTGGTCTGTCTTGTTTCTGATTCTGGAAGCTATTCTGTGGTCTGTCTTGTTTCTGATTCTGGAAGTTCGGCGGCTTATTCTGTTGGTCTTGTGGCTTCGCCTGCTGTGATTTCGGCGACTGATGTCGTTTCTGTTCGGTAGAAGCATCACCTTTAGGAGTCGAGGTGCCGTTGCCTGTCGGTTTAGCTGGTTCGTCTTTCTTGACTGGTGTGGTAATTTTAGGAGTTACCTTTTGAGCAGTTGGGGTCGTCGTGGCTTCTTTCTTCGGGGATTGGGCTGGTGGAGGCATCTGAGTTTTGAGTTCCTGCTTTTGTTCAGGTTTCCCGGTCTTAACCTCATCAGGTTTAGTTGGCTTGGTTGGCGTGGGGGTTTTCTTCGGTGGTTCATACTTGCCAGGGCTTTTCCCTTGATTCTGCTGGCGTCCAGCGTAATTATTTCCCTGACCTTGAAATCCACCGCTCTGTTGATTTGGATATCTTCCATAAGTACCCCCAGCCTGTCCTTGATTTCTATTGAAATTTCCTTGATTCCTGTTAAAGTTACCTTGGCCCCGAAAGTTACTCGAAGGTCTCGCAAAGTTTCCTGGTCGCATCATCTTTCTTTTTGAACTAGTCAAAATGGCGTCGCAACACTTTATGTTAATGCATCGGGATTGACATGCGCAGTAGACAGCAATGAAACAAAGAACCCGAGACCATGTGTTCACAACAATTTAAAAGAAAACGATAATTACATTACTTTTTACAACTGTCATTAACTTACAGTTATCATATAATATTTAACAAATACAAATTTAAGAAATGAATAATGTTTCAGAAATCTCGTACCTACGTTATATTTTAAAGGGGATGTTGTTTGACAAAAGCAGGTGCCCGTTTTCACAACGAGGCTTTGACGCTTGATATAATGCAGTTATTATCTCAGATTGTTTGTATTTGAAGTATTTGACAGTTATATGCAATTTTTTACCGTTAGTATGAATAAGTGTGTTTGAACTTTGAAACAGGACCTCAGCATATACCTCACATATTCGCATCCTTTCGGAGAAGCCAAAATTTCCCGCCTTATTTCATCTTACACTGAGGCGGAATGGCGGACGCTAGCGACGGACATGTGCAAGGAGATGAGACGGTAAGTATTCCAATGCATCCTGCAGATATAATCATTAGATTGATGTAGTGCTAAACAGAACTGCATATAATTATAGGCGGGTAACTTAAACTTGTTAAATGTAAGTGATGTTTGATATTTTGCTGTTGAGCAAGACCGTCCATTTCTATCACACCGCGGTTATTTCCCTTAGGTTAATTCCGCGGTTAGATCGCACTGGCCAATTATAGATGAAATCAATGATAAGAGGATCTTTACGCTGTGTTTGGTGTTTATAGGTTTAGGAAGGAAGTTTATAAGGAATTCCTTTCCCCAATTAATACATATTGTATTGTTTGCATGTTTTATATAACTCACAATGTCCTGTTAAGTTTTCAAATTAATTTAGAGGTGAGGTGACTTTTATTTGCATTATTATTTATATCAATATTAATTATCAGGAAGGGTAACAAAAAAGCCAGTTCTGTATGTTTGCTAAACAACACTGCTTTTTTTACACGAACCACTAACCCCAAGTAGTCAGTTTTGGAGCATCACCTCTTTTTCATCACTAAGGTAAAATCCTGACAAAAAGATATTTGGGCTTTATGCAATATGAAACATTTTTGTTGGCTTCATCATCCAATCTTATGATGTTGGTAATGGTAACATTACCAATATTGTGTTAAAGGGGCACTGATCTAACGCAATTCCCCGGGACTGGTTGTTGCCTTTGTTATTGTTTTTTCCCAGTGAATACCCGGATGTAAAGCAGAAATCTAGACTAGTTCGCGACCTCTGCTGCGCCATTCGTAAGCGCATTAGTCACTTTTATGGGTAGTAATAAGGGCGTATGGTCACATTGATCAAAAAAATGAAATACAGTTTTCGAGATAATAAGGAAATGTAGGTATCTTTGTGAGTAGCATCGGTAATGGTGACGAAGTTTTGATAAGTCACTTGCTTGGTAATTTTGCGATTTTCGTTTACACTATTTTGACTTGCAACACAAAGTATATATTTCACCTGAGCATATGCTTTTTTAAAGTGTGTATATTTTTTTACTGTCAAATGTGTAACAAATTAATTAAACGTCTAAATATTCAGTTGTTTTACAAAGTGACTGAAAAACATTTCCATCTGTATTGTTATGACAACGAATTCCAGACATTTTGATGTTTAATGTCATCACCGAGAGACTGAAAATGTAACGTTGAAAAGTACATTTCTAAGTTGTTTGGCTTTTAATCCTACATAATAATCTGTTGTGATGTTTGTAGGCCCTTTTGATCGTCTTGATCAATCTGGACAGATTTTTTAGTCAAAATGACTGAAATATTTACACATTTTATAAATTGCCTGAGAGAATCACATTTTACAAATTGACGGTAATATATACACGCTTACAAAGGAAAAGACGTGTGACAACAACGTCTATCGCACATTGTAGAATTTCCCAACCAAGACGTAGAGAAACAAGAACGAATCGGTTCAAATGAAGGAAAACAAAATGCAGATATCATAATTTCCACTTACCAAATTTATGTGTATAAGTTTTAGGCAGCTTCCTTGTTCGAGGAATGTATCCGTGAATATCCACACAAAGGAACAATATCCCACTCGTCTGCAGCTGTACAAAGAAACTTATTCGATGTCACGTGTCTCAGTAACAATCAAATATTTTAAAAGATATATATCGTTTCGGGATATTATAACCCGTGTTCGTTTCTCAACTGATCGCTTGGATTGTTTCAGGTGTTTTACATAGGTGTCAAGTCTCAATGGTCGGCTGACGTGACAACTATTTTCATAGCGTCCACGGTTCCTAAAAATTCCATTGAGTGATAGATAACAATGATCAATCAACTTCGCGCCATGATATGAGTGTATTCCCTTTGTTTTAGTAAACCAAAGACGTATATGTATATACGTCCGTGAGTAAACCCAGACATGTAAACACTCACTCTTGACATATCCACTGTGCAAGATAACAGTGATTAATCAATCAACGTATTTTCTGTTAATCCTTTGATGACTAGGAACGATCCGTTGATTTACATAAAAAAGTAAATCAACTGTTCATTCATCTCTTGCTGGGCTGCCACGTGCATATTACATAACACACATTTCACCTCACTTCAAACCTGGATTTAGATTGAATAATTACCCCAGACACAATAAATGCCAAATGGGAACCTTTGTCAGGTAATATAAGTGGTGCTACCACTAATTGTACCTGTAATAAATTCATTAACTGAGCATCAAGTGAATGACGACAAATACACAAGTGTAGGGTTATACGAGAAAACGTGGATGACAACAAGGGAGTAGTAATCGTATTATCGACGCAAGCCGAAATCCGAAAATGCTTTCACTGCATGGATACTGTTTTTAGTATTAAACTATAACCATCTGGGGTATTTCCAAATGACGACATCCGATGAGCTCCCTTGTTCTTTTTGTCTGTTTGTTTAGGCTGAAGAAATGAATTAACATGCGCCCTTTGTCGAAATCTTTATAGATCACAGTTAGCCAATCAGTGTTCAAAAATGCGTAAAACAAATATTGCCTCCAGCCTCCAAGTTTATTTAGCTGTCTTTGCAGACGGTACCCCAGTCTCTGGTCACGCTCAGTTGCGTTGCGTATCATCCGGGTACTCACGGGGGAAAAACAATAACAAAGGCAACAACCAGTCCGTTAGATCAGTGCCCCTTTAAGTTGTGTTATATAAATACGCATATAACATGGGAAGATTTTGAGCTATTGACACCATCCATGTGAAATTTCAAGGATGTGGTTTAGAAAAAGTTATATTATTTTGCATTGAAAAGAAATTCGTATCATAGTCCATATTTTCGGGACCCGTGAAGATCCGGGGTAGAATAGGTCTTCAGCAACATATGAAAAGCCGACTATGCTTGTAGTAAGAGGCGACTAACGGAATCGGGTGGTCAGTCTCACTGACTTGGTTGATGCATGTCATTGTATCTCAATGACATGGATCGATGCTCATGATGTCAATCACTGGACTGTCTGGTCCAGACTCTATTATTTTCAGACCGCCGTCATATAGGCCTAGCTGGAATATTGCTGAGTGCGGCGGACTATCCAGTTTCAATCCCTTGAAACAACACACCACATCAAAGGATTTTACCCTGGACCCCCAAAGTACCCCACCCCATTACTACACCTTCCTTGTATTTAATTGGTCTCTCTTCCGTTCACCCACTGGCTTCCTTGTTATATTGATATCTTTGTGTAAACATACCAGCATGTGTATGTATTAACTCACGTTTTTTGCAGTAGGCTAATCTCCGGATGAAGATGCAAGAAGTAGCACTGAAACTTCTTACAAAGAATACAAGAAATTGTTATCTATAAACCCTTCATGTCTTCCCATTAGATTTATTTACAACTGGAAACAGTTTTTTTAACAGATCTGCTTCAAACTCATTTCTTTTATAATTACACTGTCTAATATTTATATTCCAAAAAGTATTTTTCATTATCATGATGACACATGCAAATGACAGGCCCATAAAATGATCGTTTTTCTCACAACGTTTGTGAATTTTATTGTGGAAAAATTATAACTTCCAGTTAATGTACATACATAAACCTAAACATTTACATATATGTAGTTTAAAGAAAATGACCAGGCTTCACAGCTTGTGGCTTGAATATTTATACATAAGAAGGGTATGATGCCTTGTAAAAGTTGTTGACATTGCTCTTTTATGTCAGGGCTCGAAACATTTTAATGTTTCCTTTCTGAGGTTATTTTTAACTGTTCCTTTCTGAAGTCACGTTTTAAAGAAATCCCAAGTCCAGACTTTGAATCTGATAGTTGCGGATATTAATGGCAGACAATACAAAATAAATCAGTCACTGCCATCTACCATCAACCATGCATCTTACAGTCATACTATTTTAGAGAAAAATTCCTGTATACTGTTTCGTAATCAAATCATCCTTTTTTTGTCTTCGATTAAAAACTCGTACATCAACCATTGTACATGTTGTACTCACAGTAGCATTCTCTGTCACTTTTTTACATTTCTGTGAGCACGTAATAATGGAAATACCATGTCAACAAATCAGCCCTGAAGTACACAATATAATCTTTTAATTACACTCAGGTTATAATAAGTGTTCATTGTATATCTGGACTTGTGTTTGTAATCTAAAATTTAATTCAATATTGTTTACATTCGTTTTGGCGAAATCGTGTGTGAAGTGATCGGTAGATAGAACAACTGACCATTATTTACAGCAACCACGGCCAGATTTACAGCAATGTGAGTGCCTCGATGGTGACTGGTCTAATTGTTCCTTACATAAAAAATATCCGCAATAGCGACCAGCTGTACTAAAGTGCTAGGTCTGTGGTTATTGTTATTTTAGATATACATGTATACGGTAGAAGCTGCAGCCCAATATTGGAAAATATTATCCATGATAAAATAATATTTTCAGATACTTTTTTTCCGATCATTGTGTCCAAATTTGTATTATTGGGTAATTTTTAACCGATTCACTGGTAGATTAAGAGAAAACGTGTGTACAGATAACTGCTGTTTCTGGCTTAGTTTACGAGAAAAATACACACGTAATCTTAGTCTCTGTATGTAAAACAATGCCTAGCAGAACAGGAGATACAATTTAGACGGTGTAACGCCATGTCTAGTAATGTTTTATCTCAAATTTCAAATTTGTTCTGACTAAGTTTATCATTACCCGTTCATTTACCTGAATTCGCTGATGGAATACAATGTAATCTTTTTCTGCACATAATTAATACTCGAAAAAACATCTCCCCCAAATACTGAATTCTGTAAACATAATTATTGAAAACGATAAGAGATCAATTGATATGACTGAATTATGTACTCGCCCGCTAGGATGAGCGTTTCTTCACTGATCTCACACCCTGCACATGCTGCCACTCATCAATATGAGTGGACGAAAAATGTCAGTTTGACCCAGACTTTGTCGAAGGAGACTGCACTTCATGGTTGGTTTAAAAATATTTATACCAAAAATAATTTTGAAACTGGGTTGGCAAACAAGCCGCCAGATTTTTTAATGCATCTCCAGAAAACATAATACCATGGTAGGTAATGGCATGGTGATTTGGGTTTGTAGAAAAAGTAATATGCTCTCTTATCAACATTTAGGCATTTTATTGAAATAAACATAATATATATCAGAAGTCAAAATAGTGTCACCCATCATGGTCTGTGAAATGTGTAAACATTTAAATTAAATCGGCCAGTTTCAGCAATTAAGTTATGGACTGATTAGACAATTCATATTCATTTGCAGACTTGTAGCAGAGCTCCAGATAAGCTGCGTATCTGCGTGAAATACGCATCAGAAATGCAGAAATATGCAGTAAAATAAAATCCAAGCGTATCAAATACGCAAAGAACATTACATTATTTTTTAGTTCTATAAAGCTCTCGAACCCACACGACACCAGTTTGCAGCGACTAGATAGTGTTTTTAAATATTTAACTTAAATACCCACGTGTAAAAACTAGTGGGTAACAGAAATTTGAATACCCAGATAGAATTACTGATACCCAATGATTTTAAAATGCATGGGTAAAATACCCACAACACCAAAAGCTTATCTGGAGCTCTGCTTGTAGAATTTCAATACAGAGTGTAAGTTATACCCCTTAATAAAATAATAACTGGTGCTCCTTACATTACCATAATTGGGACATACAAGGGGATAATGTTTGGTATCCTCATTAGGCGACTCACAAGAACATGAAGCGTCATCCGAAATAGATCTATTCTTCTTTTGCAGTTATGTGAGTCTGTCATTTCATCCGTCAATCATGACCAGTGCTCTAAAGTTATTATGAATACTTACTGTACAATACACCACACCATCCCATTACTTTACAGAGCCCTCATATTGCCTGTAAGGACCCTTTAAATTAATTATGTGGGGTCCCTTTCAGCCCCATTTTTGAAAGTCATGGTAAATCCCTTATTCTTGTTATAATTGTACACTTGTGTGTGATTCGTCGATGTTGTTAATGTCAGTAGTTTTAAATGAACTTTGCGTGTATACACTAATAGATTAATAATTCTTTCCTCAGATTTCAAGTCCAGCACATGATGAGAAAGAGGTTAGCCCAGTAAATATTGATGAACCATCTGAAGTCATGGAACTTAACAATGGTACAGGGAATGGGCCTACGACTCCAGCAGAACCAATGGAGGCAGACAGCGCTGAAGCCAGCCCAGCCATAGCAGATGAGGAACAGGAGCCGCCTGGGAGTCCAGGATCTCCCCGCGTAGCCACGCCAAGAGAGGAGGATATGGAGGCTGAAGGTGATCTGAGTGAAGCCCAAAATGAAAATGAAGAAGGTGGAGACAGAACCTCTGACAAAGTACTGGATGAAGCGGAGGAGCAGGACAATTTGAACGGAACTGAAGATCCTAAAGCCTCTGCAGAAGAAGAAGATGAAGTGGTTCAGATTGAGGTCCCTGAGAAGCGAGCACAAGAGGAATCAAAAGAAGATGCAGAACCAGCTGATGATGACCTCAGTCAACAAGATGAGGACCGTCTGCTGGGAGATGACGATGATGACCAGAAAGGAGAAGATGCAGAGATTCTGTCAGAAGGTGAAGGAGGCGGAGTGATCACTGAAAAGGGTCCAAAGACTCCTGCTACCCCTCTTCAGGATGAGATGAAAGAGACTTCTGCAGATGCTCCCGACTTAGAAGCAGAAGCTCCTGAACTGGAAGAAGAAGCTCCTATCCTTGAACCAGAAGAACCAACAGATCAGAATGCTACCTCAGCAGAGAATTCCCAGGATGCAGATGAGAATTCAGAACCGGAGTCTGATGCAAATAGAGGAGGTAAGGGGTTAGGAACAACAGAGGCTATGGAGGTAGATGATGCCAGCAATACAGAGACTGACAAGGGGGGACTGGAAACAATATCGGAGGAGGCAGAAGAGACTAATGAAGATTCTAGGGACATGGTAGACCAAGAGACTAGTAACCAGTCAGGTTCTGAAGCAGCTGATAAAGTTGGAAGTGAAAAGTCACCGGAACCACCTGTGTTAGATCCAGAGACCTCCATTGATTCTGGGAAAAAGGGAGATAGTGACATCGAGATTGTTGATGGCACGGATTCTACAAAAGAAGGCAACACAGACAAAGATGGACAGAAGACAGACTCCAAAGATGATGAAGACGAGAGCAAAGGTGAAAAGTCTGCAGATGCATCTAAGATGGGCAAGAAAAACATGGAAGATGACGATGATGACGTGATGGTGATTGAAGATGAGAAAACAGAACCCGAGGCTATTGTATTGGATGATGATGAGGATGAGGGTGGTGTTGCAGAGAAGTCCAAGGGTAAAGGGAAAGACAGTTCATCCTTGGCCACCATGGACTCCTCTAATGATATGGGATTGCAGATATCCTCTGTGACGAGTGGAGCAGACGTCAGCGGCCTCCACATTGCATCAGTCTCGGGAGGCGGGGAGCCACAGGACAAGGAAAGTGCTGCTAAGACTGTGAGTGCTTTAAATTATGTGTTATCAAGCCTGAAATTCAACTGAACCCATATTCTTATGAGTCATAATTAAGAAACACATCACCTACTCATCCAAGACAAGGTTTGAAATGTCTAACCGCAAGGATGAGTATAAAAAAGTCTTAATCATGTCAATTTAGAAATTTGTACACACCTTGTTACTGGGCCATTTTAAGTTTGGTCCAAAATTAACAGGGCAGTATTTTCCAGCTATTATAAATTTGACCTCATTTTTCTGTCAAGTTATTGACTTGAGAGAGAAATGAATTTCTTAATTCAAATTTGCAAATGTCATATTCACTATATGATAAGTGCTTGAAGCTAACACATAACAGTTTAGGTCCTTTGTGCACTGAAATGCACCATCTGAATTAAGTTAGCATGAAAAGTAACTAGTATTACCCATCCCTACAGGGTGTATGTTAACTAGCTGTAGTTATGTTGCCCATGTTTAACAAAGGATCTAAAAGCTATGGTAGTATACTGTTGGTGTGTATCTTAAATGGTGTTCTTTTCTGGGACATCCTCCAGAGTGCTAAGGAAGGTCAGAAGACAGCTCCAGACTCCATGAAGACCAGGATAAAACAGGAGCGGACAACTCCTCCCCCTGCAGCATCAGGTATGACAGCTCTGTGGCACTAGCGTTGTTTTCAATAGATTTATTATGTGAACCTTTGTTAACTGAGTGTACTGAAGTGAATTGAATTTTACTAGACATGGTTTTGGACTAGTGGCTAGTAGGGCGGGACAGGTAACTTGGGTACTCGGGTCTGATGGTACCTGTGGAGCCCTCACTAATGTCCCCCGCTGTGATATTGCTGGAATATTGCTAAAGGTGGCGTAAAACCATACTCACTCAATCATTCAGTAACCTAGAATAAACATAACAAGAGTGCTGTGCAGTATTTTAATCAAGTAGGGTGAAGATTATTCTCTGGATTTAAGTTGTCGAAAAGGATAATAGAAGTGGAACAATTGTATGAATGCGTTTCAATTCCTCAGGGAGCCCTGCGGCAGGGAAGACGTCAGTTGCAGCGGCCACGCCTAGCTCAGGCGGGAAGAAGTCAAAGATGCAGTCCTGTATCGTGTGTGGCAAGGTAATGTGATTGTAGATGTTCCATAGACTGGAGTAAAGCTGTTAACAATAAGTCCATTTTGTACTTATGAGTGAATGCTCATGGCACTACATTTTTATGTCCCCGAGCAATGGATCAGTGTGCAGTCGATTTTCATTCTCCGTTCCCTGGGGAGTATACAACCCAAGATGCCAGAGAGGTGCAAGGAAGTTGATAGTCATACCACATCTTCCTAATGGGTGAACAGAGGCATATCATGAACAAAGTCAGTTGCCTTAGTGTTGGGTCCCTGTGGGGATTCCTGTTTAGAACAGGTCCACAGGAACATAAGCTGATTGGATCAGGTCGTCAGGTTTGATGACTGGGTTGATAGCATGTCTTCATATCCATGAAGATCCAGGGTATATAAGGTCTTCAGCTACCAATTCTTGCCATAAAAGGCGACTATGCTTGTTGCTATAGGCGACTAACGGGATCGGGTCGCCAGACTCGCTGATTTGGTTGATGCAGGTCATCATATCCCAATTGTGTGGTCGATGCTCATGATGTCAATCACTAGATTGTCAGGTCCAGACTCAATTATTTACAGACCGGCATCATATAGCTGGAATATTGCTCAATGTTGCAACAAACAAACACCCTGACGGTGTGGATCGCTGTTCATAATATCAGTCACTGGTTCAGTCTCGAATATTTACCTCTGTCAATTAGCTGAAATAATGAAGTGCTACGTTAAACCACAAGCAAATTAAGCTAAGCAAACACAAATTTATCTTGGCATTAGCTGTCAATACCATGACAGGAATTAATAGGATAATGATGATATAAATGTGTACATTGTGTTCCACGAGCACATTCTCATCCTACTCATACGATCTTTTACTCGTAACTATGGATCATGTAACATTCAATTAGATCTGCCTCCGTGATCTAGTGGGAGAGCTGAAGGTTGGGGTTTTGATCCCCAGCCATGTCATACCATGTACTTGTTTACCCTTCCTGACGCTCGGAATTAAATGGCTAATACAGGGACTGGTCGGATCAGTCAGTATACTGTGTCTTGAGTAGGGCATTCATGTTATACTGCAGCATGGTATCTCAGTGGGCTAGCACTATAAAATCAGCATTAGTCCCCACTAGTACAAGCAGCCGCACGCACGCGCACATGCATGCATGCCACTTTATAAGTGCAATTATCTTGAATGAAACATTAAACCCCTTGTCACTTCACCACCTCACATTGGACTGTCTGGTCCAGACTCAATTTTTTACAGACCGCCGTCATATAGCTGGAATATTGCTGAGTGCGGCGTTAAACAACAAACAAACAAACAAAACACTTCACCACCTCACATTGAAATTGCATCTCAGCTCCCTGATTATATAAGCTGTGGGATCAATGATAACCAGTTGCCAAATCTTGTTGCAGGTTGGTCGATGCAAGTACAACATCGTCCGTAACGGAGACATCAAACATCTGTGCGACGACACCTGTTTCCGCAAGTTCCGGGCAAACCCAACAATGTTCTTGAAGAACACGTCCTCCACCCAACAGAAGTCCCCTGGCCAACCGACAACAAGGTCTCAAACAGGCTCCTTGAAACAAACTGCCAAATCTTCCAACAGCCAATCAGAATACAAGACCTGCACAGTGTGTCAGCTGATGAACATCAACACCCAGAAACCGTTTGTACAATGGATGAATGTTGACTTCTGCAGCAAGGTCTGTTTGGCCAAGTACCAGAGTAACCTCAACTCTTCCTGTTCTTACTGCACATCTTTTGTGGCACCTGAGTTCCGGCCTCTCTTCTGCCTACAGGTCGGCACCGATTTTAAAACGTTCTGTTCGGCAAAGTGTAGCAATGAGTACAAGAAGAGACTGCGTCTGTGTGCATTTTGCCAAAAGGATCTAGCCACTGTCAGTGATTCATTTTGTGCACCGGTTGATGCAAACAAGTTCCTTGACTTCTGCAGTAAAAATTGTTTGAAGAAATATGAGGAAAAAACTAGTGATGTTGAGATAATCGGTGTGGAGAGCACGGGTAAGAAGGGTGGTGGGCAATCCAATAGATGTGCTGTGTGTGCCAAGGGTGGGCAGATGAAGCATAACATCAAACTAAATGGTGTGATGAACCGGCTGTGTAGTGATCCCTGTTTGTCAGCCTTCCAGTATGCCAACAAGCTTGCAATGAACACATGTGACAACTGTGGGGGCCTCTGTCCAACGGAAGATGTCGTCTCCCATTTCATCCAGTTCGAGGGCCAACAGAAGCGATTTTGTAAAGATGCTTGTGTGAACTTTTTCCGGTCTAAACACAAAAAGATCGTCGCGTGTGGATGGTGTGGGACTAAGAAAGTGAACTTTGACATGATCGAACGTGTTGATTCCAACAATAAGTATCAGTTGTTCTGCTCTCTCAACTGCCTGTCCCTGTATCGAGTGAACCTGCAAGCTAAGTCGAACCAAGCGGTGACGTGTGACCACTGTCACAAGTACGTCCCGGCCCAGTACCACCTGACCATGAGCGACGCCTCGGTGCGCAACTTCTGTTCTTATAACTGTGTCATGTCCTTCCAGTCACAGTTCAGTGCCAATTCGAAGAATTCCTCACAGCCAACCATTCATTCCCAGCAGAGGGTTCAACTACAAAACAAGCCTAATACACGAGGTATCTATGTCTTCTCTGCTGCACAGGGTTAGAACAAAGCTCAAAAGTTTGACTAACACTGGTAAAGATAAAATGCCCTAATAATGATAAATCAATGGAGATGTGGAAATTAAATTGGCCCGCATGAATTTGTGCTATCCCTGGGCTAGTGTTATGTTCTGTCCCTGCCTGTATCCAGTTGCTCCTATTTTGTTCTCCGCTGTGATGCATTGTCAGCTTCTAAGAAAAAATGTCTATGAAACAAAGGTTGCATTACAGTTGATATGTCATTTATGAACTGAGGCAGAGCTACAGATAAGCAGCGTATTTGCGTAAAATACCCCCAAAAAATATTCAAAACCCAATTACTTTCAATTTACTTGCGTACTGAAACGCATGCATTTAATGAAAAACTCAGATTATAAAAACAGCACACGTAAATACCCAATGAAGATTTTTCAGCATGTGTACAAAGGAGCTAATTTCCGAAACACAATTAGGAGCTAATTTACTTTCCAAGTCAAGCCTATATATTTAGAACAGTTATCATAGTTCTATACATCTAAAACATTATTTCATTTTTTAAATCTGAAAATGTTCACTCATTTGGGGAAAAATCCAATAGAGTTATGAATAGATGAGTGAAAAAATATTGGTTACCCAATGAAAAATGTAATAACCCAATTAAAATAGAAACCCTAGAGCATGTAGAGGAAAAATTCAATTGCTCAAAAAGTTATCTGGAGCTCTGCTCACTGAGGGAGGGCAGGGTTAGGCTAGTGGGAAGTCCTAGTACCATGAGTACAATTCACCACACTCATTGTGTGAAGCCCCTTGTGTATTCATCCATTATACTGTTACCACAGCAGAGGTGAATTCTAGATTTTTGAAATATGGGGATCCTGCTAGCCTGAACTATCCAAGTTAACGAAGTGCGCATAGACACGTGATAGGTTGACAGTATATTTGACACTCAAGATGTCTGACAAAGGGGTTTAAGTACCCCTTCACTCCCTTGGTGTTCAGCCATTGTGCAATAGGGCACACCAAGAGTGGGCGTTATAGAGCGATATTCACTCTCTAAACTGGAGAAGTGAAAAATCACTGATCGGTGTTTTGAGAAAGGATAAATGTGCTTTATCTCACCTATAAACCATCTAAATGCAGGAAATAGCAGGAAAAAATACGAAAACTTTTAGATACCTCATAGTGTAACAATACAGTGTGTCATGGTATAAAAGGAATGCAATCAAAGCACAGAGAGAAGAAACACGTGCAGCATAGACAAAACTAAGTCATGGCATCTAAAATTAAATGTTCTTTCACTCCACCCCACCCCGGTGGCTCAGTGGGAAACAGTGGGTTACAAAACTTAACATGATATGTGAGGTTGCAGGTTCGATTCCCGTCATCCGTTATGAAAAAGTTTCATTTCATGTCTTTGATTTTTTAACATTGGACGTTTGCAGTCCATAATTCCATCTGCTACTCCAATCATACGGTCTTACTTGCAAGAAGTAAAACTCCCAAGATGTTACTACGAGATAGAAAGATACCTACAATACAATAGTCAAAAGTGGCCGTAGGTTTATGAGGTGAAATACCTGAGATGTGTTGATATTTTACGCTGCGTCTTTGTTTCCAGCCTCCAGCAGTAATGCTACGTCCCCGGGACAAGGCCAGTCCAACTCCTTCCCTGTCATCTCCAATGTTGTGTCCCTTGCACCACAAGGTAAGGACATGGTCTTGAACGCTTTGTGTTACTCAAGATTCACATAATGCCCTGCCTTTCTTCACACCACATTGATTGGTTCTTGTTTCACTTCTATCAGATAATCAACCTGTGAAATTACTGAAATAGTCAGATTAATTTTATTGTTGTTGTTGTTGTTCAACGCCACACTCAGCAATATTTAACGAGTTATTTATGTAAAACAACTAGATTTTGGAAGAAGACAGATAGTCCTGATGGATTTTCACTCGTCCCGAACTAGTTGCCGTGTCTCGCCCAGTGCATGACGACAGTCTGTCAATAAACAAATCTGAACCAGAGAGTTTATTCAGAATACTGAGTGGCCTTAGACACATTGTATACAAATTGTATACATTGTATACCCTACAGATTCAATCTTATAAAATCAGATATTAGTCATGTGTCATGAGAACCCATGAAGATCCCGGGGTAGGATAGGTCTTCAGCAACCCATGCTTGCCATAAAAGGTGACTATGCTTGTCGTAAAAGGTGACTAAGGGGATCAGGTGGTCAGGCTCGCTGACTTGGTTGAGGTATGTCATTGATTCCAATTGCATGGATCGATGCTCATGATGTAATCACTAGATTGTCTGGACCAGACTCGATTATTTACAGACTTCCGTCATAAAGCTGGAATATTGCTCAGTGCGGCATTAAACATCAAACCAAACCAATACAAGCCAGAAGAAGTCTCTTAGCATCCTCTTCAACAGATTTTATTGTTACCATAAAGACTTTTATTATTGTTATTACCTGAGCTAACAAGACCAAACAATATTTTACTTGACTTGGTCTTCTGTCTGGTGGCTAAAGTTGCAGACAGCGTCATCATTTAAATGGAATATTCCTTAGTGTTCCATTAAGCAACATTACAAATACAGTAAACTTAGGCTATAACGAACTCGGAGCACTAATTTTACTTTTAAGTTTGTTCTTTATAAAGGTAATTTACTGTAACATGGGTGTTGACAGGTGCCAAAGGAAAGCTGATGTTGTCGGGGCAGAAGCAGCAGACAGTCAACATCAAGTCCAACACACCAGTGCCGGTAGTGGTCAGTCAAGCTGGAAAGGTAGGAACACAAGTGTTGAACCTGTCAGGTCAGGGTTTTAACATACTTCAGTATTTTTGCCTACAGTTGGGCAGGTAGGATGTAAAAAAATGTAAAAACAGGCCAAACTGAATTTCTACACAGAGTTAAGGGAATTGAATTGCCGCGTGGGCAAGAGGCCACCCTAAGTGGTAGGAATATATTTCACCTATCCCGCCAGAAGTGTTACTAGCCAGAGGATAGCAGGCAGGCAGCTATTTCAGACACTTGGGTTGGGTACCAAGGTTGTAAATTTGTACTCGTCTTAGCTCGATTACAGTCAAGTCCCGTTAATCCAACATGGATGGTTATGATTATGTCAGATTAACGAGTATGTTGGATAAATGACATTAAGTAGTATCAATGTTCGGGATAAAAAATCGGACAACTACACGATAGATAACGATACATACTTGTTGAATAATAAAAATAAAATATGTGTTGCATTAAAGACAAATAATAAATGAGTGATTTGGGTAATTTAATTGCAAATTAGCTGTGTCTTAGTCGGAGTGCAAGACAGTCGGATGAACGGTTCTAAATAGCACTGATTTGATGGGTTCCCATAATTGGTGTCCGATAAAGCCGACTTGACTTTGTATAGCTCAAGAGGATGTAACTGTGTGATGCAGGCCCAAATTGCCACTATCACTTTCTGTATGTCTTGGATAAATCAACTATGGATAAATCATTATTATTCTGAAGGTTTCCAGCAAAGTGAGTACATAGGTTTTACCGTTTTCACGTAATTGTTGCAGCAAAGTGTGTCGACAGCAACCCAGCAGCAGATCATCATCCAGCCGCCGCCACCCAAACAAATGAAGAACAAGTCGCTGCTGTGTAAACCCTTTGTCCAGACCAAAGCCACTTCCTGCCGCCCGCACACCCTCAACAAGGAGGTGCAGACAGGTCGGTCTGGAAGTCCATTATGTCTGATGTATGAGTGTAATTACATGGAAAATTGGTTGGAGAAATAAGTGGGTGGTACTATGCATATCGATATATCTTAGGAGGAGGGATGGGTGCTAGATGGTATGAGTGTCTGTGTGTCTAAAGAGGGGGAGGGAGTGTTCCAGGATCATGTCAGTGTTTCTAAGGACGAAGGAGGGCTGGATGGGTGTCAGGTGGTGCGAGGAGCATTTCTATGTCTAAAGAGGGGGAGGGAGTGTTCCAGGATCATGTCAGTGTTTCTAAGGACGAAGGAGGGCTGGATGGGTGTCAGGTGGTGCAAGGAGCATATCTATGTCTAAAGAGGGGAGGGAGTGTTCCAGGATCATGTCTGTTTCTAAGGAGGAAGGAGGGCTGGATGGGTGTCAGGTGGTATGAGGTTCATGTCTGTATGTCAAAGAGGGGGAGGGAGTGTTCCAGGATCATGTCAGTGTTTCTAAGGAGGAAGGATGGGTGTCAGGTGGTGCGAGGAGCATATCTATGTCTAAAGAGGGGGGGAGTGTTCCAGGATCATGTCAGTGTTTCTAAGGAGGAAGGAAGGCTGGATGGGTGTCAGGTGGTGCAAGGAGCATTTCTATGTCTAAAGAGGGGAGGGAGTGTTCCAGGATCATGTCAGTGTTTCTAAGGAGGAAGGAGGGCTGGATGGGCGTCAGGTGGTGCGAGGAGCATGATGTTGTGCCTGACAAAGATGGAAGGGTGGATGTTGTTGGGTGGTAATGATACTGACCACATTGCCAACGTGTGTTTACATGCATCTACATGATCATACATCCTGGAGCAACATTGCGACCATGCACCTATAGTGTTAATTTCAATAACATATGTGTAATAATAACAAGTGCGCTTCATCTGATTATGTGAATAGTTATTCAGTTATTTGTCGTTGCAGAGGAGCACCAAGGCAAGCCGGTACTGATACCAGTGCCTGTACCGGTGTATGTCCCCTGCCCAATGGCGATGTATGCAGCCCCGACGCCACAGATGGTGCCTGTCCCTATCCCAATACCAGTCCCAATATTTATACCTACAGCCAAGAAAACAGCCGAGAAGATCCTCAAGCTCATCAAAGTAAGTACGTTTTGGTCTTCCTTCTTGTTCAGTTTGTTTGTTTGTTTCTTGTTAAACGCCGCAATCAGCAATGTTTATAATAATCGAGTCGGGACCAGACAATCCAGTGATTGATATGAGCATCGATCCACGAATTTGGGATACGATGACATGCATCAACCAAGTCAGCAAGCCTGACCACCCGATCCTGTCAGTCGCCTCTTCTTATGTCATGCTTGGGTTGCTATTCTAACCCGGATCTTCATTGGTCTCTTTGTTCAGTAGGTAATTATTGATATGTGTCTGTGCAGACTGTTCCAAACATACAACACTGAATTAACACATTTTCCTGGCCAACGTCATGATATATCTTAGCGGACAAAAGTAAAACTAGGTCTTGCAGAAGGACACATCCTGTGATATAAAAAGATTTTATACTAAGTAAGATGCTATTAAGTATTTGTGTCATATTCTGTCATGGTAATAGTTTAGTATCAAATGTTTTGAAAATAAGTTCATAAGGCATCCCTTTCTATCTTCTTGCTTATTCTTTGTCATTTTTTAGCTTTAATGAAACCAGTTGCAAATGACCCAGAATATGACAAGATGTACACATACTTTAGTTACAGCGGTAGAAACTAAAATGTATGGATCAGTAGTCCTTATAATGATAACATATAGCAAAACCCTTACAAATGGCAAATTTCAACTAGTCCTCATGATACCTTAATTATTGGGCAGTTTGGCAAGGACTCCTGGACTAGTGCCAATTTCTGATGGCGAGTCAGTTATTACGCCCAACAGTTTAACTGTATTTTTCATGTGGATGGTCAATGTAAGATAAGAAAGATTATGACACTTAATCGTTTTATTACAAAATCGTGTTATGATGCGAGTAACTGGCATAATTAACTACTGATCAGCGTTAGAAACTAACGGTTTTCGTCCACTAGTCCATGTAATGATAACATATAGCAAAACCAGAAAAAGGGACAGATTTCTACTAGTCCTTATGATGCCTTAACTATTGGGCAGTTGGGCAACTACTATGAGTTGGTTGGTTTGTTGTTTAAGGCCGCACTCAGCAATATTCCAGCTATATGACGGCGGTTTGTAAATAATCGAGCCTGACCACCCGATCCTGTTAGTCACCTTTTACGACAAGCATAGTCACCTTTAACGGCAAGCTTGGGTTGCTGAAGACCTACTCTTCCCCGGAATCTTCACGGGGGACTTACAACTTCTATGGGACTTGATGGTCCCTGCAGAATGTGTATCAGCAAGATGGCTTTGTAATGGCACTCCACACATCTCGTAGTATTGATGACAGTAGTAAACTTGATAACTTGTGAACTTCATTTAGTGTCCCAAGGACTTCGAGTCAACCAGGTATTGCTGTATTCATATTTATTTCCACATGAAGGAGTGATTTTGATCCTAATGACTGTATGTTTTTAGGAGATTCGTGAGAAGATTCCATCTGACCCACTGGAAGCGGAGTTATTGATGATGGCAGAAGCTGTTGCTGGGGGAGGCGGCGACTCCGACAGCGATACAGATAAAAGTGATGCAGACCCATTCCCTGCAATTACTAGTAAGTAGATAGTTCAGCATGAGGCAGGCTAGTCCAGTGCGTGTCAATGTAGGGCGTTGGGGTAGCCTAGTGGTTAAAGGTTTGCTCATCACGACGAACACCCGGGTTCAGTTCCCTGCATGAGTACAAAGTGTGAAGCCCATTTCTAGGGTCCCCTGATGTGATATTGCTGGAATATTGATAAAAGCAGCATAAAACCCTACTCAATTACTCACATGTCGATGTTCTCCGATGGTATAGGACGTTGCTCGTAGTTTGAAAACACAAAATGGATTTTGAATCATGATAAGTGACTGGAAGCTTCTGTCAAGGTATGACAATGTTGGTTGGTTGGTTTGTTGTTTAACGTGGCACTCAGCAATATTCCAGCTATATGACGGCGGTCTGTAAATAATCAAGTCTGGAAAAGACAATCCAGTGATTAATATCATGAGCATCGATCAACGCTATTGGGATCGATGACATGCATCAACCAAGTCAGCGAGCCTGACCACCCGATCCCGTTAGTCGCCTCTTACGACAAGCATAGTCGCCTTTTACGGCAAGCATGGGTTGCTGAAGACCTATTCTAACCCAGATCTTCACGGGTCATATGACAATGTTAATGGGAAGTCAAATTAAGACAACATTATTGCAATGTTGCATGCCTTCAGGCTCTACTACCACGTACCAATTTCTTTCTTCCTGTCCATTCTCTGAAAATTATTTTCCAAATTCCAATGTGTTTATTCATTTGTGTCACTCACAGGTTCTTCTGTACATTCTGCGGGGCGGTCGGGTAGTCTAGTAATCAATTCCCGACATGGGTGCAATGTGTGAAGCCCATTTCTGGTGTCCCCCACCGTGATATTGCTGGAATATTGCTAAAAGTGGCGTAAAGCCATACTCACTCACTGTACATTCTGCTATAACTGTTACTATCGATGCACATGTAGGACTAATCAGTGATGACTTCCTATTCTTCAGATGACAAAGATGATGGTGATGATGTGGCGCCATTGATAGATCGTGGAGCACCAGGGGGTGGGGAGGAGGACCTGGTACAGATGGCGCTGCGCATGGCCGAGGAGATCACTGGACCTGTCCTTGACCTCGAGACAAGTGTTGAACCCGTCGCAGTAAATACAGGTAGGTGACTAATGTCTCAATACTTCTAGCTTCCAATGATAAAAACTGTGTCCATACATGTAGAATGGATGCAGCTTAGAAATGAAACGACTGTGTTTTTGTCTGTGTTCGCTGTTGAAACTGGTAGTAGGTAGTTGATGTTTTGTTTGTGTGAGAACAGTTGGAAATTTCCCCAGCAGGGGTAGCCACAGCCACTTGTCTGTTAGAGACTACTGAAACTTTAGAGGCACTGATTGTTTTGTCCCAAAATACTGACAGGGTTCACTCTTGGAATTGTCTGACATGGGCCCTTTGTGAAAATTTCAAATGTTCCAGAGGTAAACACAATGTTAAAATGCCAAATTGTATTAAAAATGTGAGCCTCTTTTCAAATTTAAGGGCTAAAAGCACAAGGTGAGGTGAGGTGAAATTGGGTTTAACGTCGCGTCCAAGATTATTGCACTTACATAGCGATGTGCATGTACGTGTGTGTGTTTGTGTGGCTGCTTGTACTAGTCCGGACTGATGCCAATTTATAGTGCTAGCCCACTGGGATACCATGCCGCAGTTTAACATGAATACCCCACTCAGACACAGTATACTGAGTCCGAGCCGACCAGTCCTTCTTTAAGCCCCTTAATGCCGAGCGCCAGACAGGTAACAACAAGTACCATCTTTTAACGTCTTTTGGTATGACGCGGCCGGGGATCGAACCCCGGACCTTCCGCTCTCCGGGCAGACGCTCTACCACTAGACCACAGAGGCGGTCCTAAAAGCACAAGGCCCCACCCTAAAATGATCCCTGGTTGGGCCATAAGCTACTTGTCCAAAGTGGCCTGCTGACCAGTTAGTTCCACCTATGGTGTCTACCCCATGTCCTGTGTTTTAGAACAAATGAGAATCATGTTCATCTGATTATTGAAAATTTTAATCTTCTTTTTTTTTTTATAAGGGTGGGGGAATGTATACCAAGGAATATCCTATAACCTATATCCTGCAACCTATAACTTGAGAACTACTGCATTGATTCTTTTCAAACTTGGTGAACACTTTCTATACCTATTTGAGAAGTTCAGTGCAAAGATTGAATTTAATATTTGGATTTTCTGAAAAAATACAGCTATTTTTCTTCCCTTTTTTTTTTGGCTTAGATTTTTGTTACTTTAACATTTGTGCAACCTAAACCTTGAGAACAACTACATGGATTCTTTTCAAATTTAAGGAACATTTACTATACTAATGAGAGAGGTGTTGAGAAAAGAGTGATTTTGATCTTTGTATTTTCTGGAAAAATTAACTTAGAATATAATTTTTACTTCAACATTTGCGGGACCTATTACTTGAAAACTATGTCATGGATTTTTTTCCAATTGGTGATACAGTTTCTATACCAATAGGACAGGTGCAGTGCAAAGTTTGATTTCAATAAGTGGATTTTCTGAGAAAATAATGCTGCTTTTGTTCATGTCAAGTGTACCGTATCCAGCAAAGCTTGCTGATGATGTACCAGTGCATCTTTGAATCATGCCATTACCATGTTATATTATTGTGCTTTTTAACGAAACCTTGCTCAAATGTTAAGGCATCAATATATGTTCAATATCAAAGTTGTTCTTCGTCTGATGTTGGAGTTGAGGCCTGGGTTCTAGTGAGTCTAGCTCACTTTTTACCTTGTTTTTCACTGACACCTATTGATAGTAACTGAAGGGTTTGTTGGAACAACTAAGCAATTGCTCTCAAGGAGTTATAGTTGGCGAGAAATTGTATGTATGTTGATGTTATTTTGTGTAACAGAATGTGGTCCTGGACTTGCTTGTCAAAACATCCCCTTTACATGTGTAGTGTACTAAATTCAATTAGTGTCGCACATCTTCATTGAATGTTGATTACACACTTGACATTTATGAACTATAGTTTATTGCCCACAAGTGCTGTGTCATGGGTCAATCATCAGTGTTCAAATTGTAAAAGCTTCTAGAGCTCGGAGATAAAACGGATCAAGAAGATGCGGTTCGTAGAGCAGTCTAGGCTGCTGAACACAACGTGGAACATCTACACTGCAATACTGTATACATATATGTATATATATATCAAATATCTATCAAATATCTATCGTATCGTCATCTCTATTGACATTAGGGATGAGTATTGGAGGTTTAAAGTGTATCACTATATTTTGCGATGCACAAGACCGTAATGCAATACGTATAACGATATATTGTATAATTCTTAATTTTGAATTCAGAAGCAATCTGATACATTAAGGTATGAATTGAAGTTCAAAATTGGAACAAAAGAAGACGTAAGTACAACATGATGTTTACTCAGTCAATAAATACACAGCCATCTTAGGGCCCGGATGCATGCTCCCGGGCATCGAAGGCATTTTGCAAGTATGTAACATTAAACACATGCTAAGAATCGCTATTTTGAAATCACCCGATATATCAAGCATGAAAAAATGATATTGTGATACGTAACATGGAGAAAATTAACCTGAATTTAGGGATATACCGATAATACCACACACTCTTAATTGACATCATCGTTATCATGAACATCAAACCTTGTGGCTCAACATTGACAGTATAATTTTCCTTGTGAATGTGACGGCTAAATGGAATATGATTCCCGGTGATGCTCGGTCAAACCTTTCCCTGTGTACCTCTGAAGCGACTACAGTGCAACCCAAGAAGGACCAAAGACAAGCTGCAATTAGGACTACGATCAGGACCTGACTCCCATGAACTGACTACCTCCAGCAGGACCAGAGCCATTCAGGACCAACTCGTGTTATTCCGGGACAAGCCGAATAGCGACTCGTGCCCCTATCATGGACATTTTTGTGACTGGGTTCTGTCATAGCATAGCTAAAAGAATTGTCAACTCGTTGCGTAATGATTCACATATATTTATCCCATGTCATATATATTCCAGATGCTTTTGAAAATGCAGACTTACAGTATTCGACGTAATAAGCGCCCAGGGCGCTCTCAAAATTAGAAAAAGCGGGCTCTTATCAGAATATTATTTTGAAAGATCGTAAATTTCTTTGTTTATGCCGACAGCCTGAAATGTTTATATATGACGGATATATATTTCCTGGGTTTAATTGCCCATAATTAAGGGTGCATATAACACACAAGTGCGTATTATACACGAATAAATAAGTCTTGTGTACATTGATCAATTGGAAGGGGTGCTAATTGAGATTGTTCACTAGCCAATATATTAGCAAATGTAGTCGTGGAAGCTTATTAGAACGTGGGCGCTTATTATGTCGAATTCGGTATTCCGGGACCAGCCGAATAGAGACTTGTGCCCTTATCATGGACATTTTTGTGACTGGGTTCTGTCAAAGCGCAAACAGGCATAGCTAAAAGAATTGTCAACTCGTTGCGTAATGATTCACATATATTTATCCGATGTCATATATATTCCAGATGCTTTTGAAAATGCGGACTTACAGTATTGTGCATTATGATTGAAAACATTTAACTGTGTCTTGGGGATGTGTCTTAATGCAAGATATATGCAACATCACAAATTATTCCTGAGGGGTTCTTTGACCGAAGTACTTGAAGTCATACGAGCATTCCAATCGGTTTCTCATTTTCACACACAACATTCATGGATAGGGGGACGAGTCTTCTTGCAGGTTAGGAAAAGGGGCGAGTGGTGAAGAATTGACCAGAGCTAGCTTATTTTCCTCCAAGATGTACAAGTAACAACACAAGATCCATTCTACAGACGTCAAAACCGATATCTGTCAATTAACTCCCTTTGTCGTCACTGAGGCTAAAAGCCGTGAAGTGAGCCACAATTCTAGGCACCAGCATATGCTATGATGACATACATCTGTCCAGACACTTTATACCAGATTGTTTTGATTTATATTTTGTCAAATGTGTGAATAGATATTTGCAGGTGTGTGTGTGTAATTCTAGCCAAATGATTATTCATTAGTGGTATTATTAAAATCATTATTTGTGTGCAATATGTAGAAGTTTACTCTTTTTGTAGATAGGGTATTTTAGTTGTCTGGGTTATACATGTGTTTAATTTACAGTCCAGACCGGAGCTTCAATGACACAATGATAGTCTTCAGTACTTTAGTACAACAAGCAAACAGAGATTTAGTTGTACAGTGACCCCTGGAAGCTAGACTTGTAATTACAACGATCATTTATACTGAAAATGGGTACTTGATGATTGTATGTCACTATTACCAGAGAAGTCTTGTATCATACTATGTCAGATTAGGGTTATATGTTTTCTAGGGCAAAGCACCCACAACATATTTATGGGCAAGTTTGTCAAAGACACTCAGAGTACACTCATTGTACTTAGAAGGACAAGAGTACCCACAAGTACGGTTTGAGTCATGCTGTAAAGCTATACTTCTGGGCTATACTCCACAATGCGATCATATGCTTATGTCTTAGTAGGGAAGGGGGGGTAGCCTAGTGGTTAAAGCGTTCGCTCGTTCACGCCGAAGACCCGTGTTCAATTCCCGACATGGGTACAATGTGTGAAGCCCATTTCTGGTGTCCCCCGCCGTGATATTGCTGGAATATTGCTAAAAGCGGCGTAAAACCATACTCACTCACTCACTCACTCATAGAATGGGAGTTAACTTATTGCTAAGCTCGCTTTGTGACACGGAGCCCTGCTTTCAAGTTTCTGTCCTAAATATTTGCTTAGGTGGTCAATTTGTACTTTTAAGGCATTTACTAATAATACTCTGCATGTTGATAGATATTTATGTTGGTTGTACATTTTGAAAATCATTGTCTGTATAATCACACATACCATTGATGGGAACTACCCAAATGTGAAAAGTTTTTGAAGCTTATCGAACTGGGGTCACATTGGCCCACATTGACACTACCATGACACTGAAGAAAGCTTGATTCTGATTGGTCAGTCTACAAGCCATTTCTCTCAAAAACCTAGCATCTGAATACATTGATCTATTGATATCATTTATATCAGTGCATATAAAAATAGCTGCCGATAAC